AAAATTTTGTGATGAAACCACCTGTTTTGGTATATAGTTTTATCGTTTACAAAAATATAAAAACATTTGCAGATAACCCTCAAAAATATTCAGTACCTATTATTGTCCAGTAATTATAATATTTAATTGGTTAACGTTTTAAAACACCCTGACATTAAGCAAATCATTAAATTTGTTATTGTTTTAGATGGCTTCAAAAAATTCAATTAAGAATATTTAGTAACTTGGACAAAAAAGAATTGTAAAACATTTCTAAAATCATTTAAGACATGTGAATTTAAAACCTTAAAACAGGTATTTATATTTTTTTTATACAAATTCTATGAAGAAAGTATGTAACATTTGAAAGTAAGATATTAAAACAGATATCTCTCTAGGATTCAGGTCACATAAAGAAGTAAATGAAACGTGTTAAGAACCTAATAAATGAAATCAATTGGCATGCATGTTGTGTATGAGTTAACCCGTTTTAGGGTTCCTCATTATCAAATTGTGTAGTTGTGTTATTTTAATATGTATTTTCCAGTGTACAACTCTTTAAATTCTCGATCAAGTTCGGCCATAAAAGGCAGTAACGGCTTGCACTCGGGGAATTTGCCACAGATCCGCAGATCCGCGGATCTTAAGTGCACTTTTGAACTTGCGCGCCATTTTTATAGACAAGCCACAAATGCAACATCAACAACAACAACAAAAAACTACACAGAAAAAAACACTTTTCTTTTAGTAAATTTGATTAACTCTGATTTTGAAATACATTTTATTGAACTTCAAAGCTCCTTAAGTTTGTATTTTAATATTTTATATAAATATCAATTTGTTGTTTTTCAAATATTTAACTTTTGGAAATAAAAAAAAATTGTTCATTATTAAGTGCAAATTCATCTAGACAAATATTTTGTTACCTGTTAAATACACAATATTTAACAAAAAAACGAATGTCATTGCAATTCAAACCAAAATAACAGAAAAAAACTAAAACAAATTTTAATGCATTTATATACTTTCAAAAATAGTAGTTTAATTTCAAACCTTATTTAAATACATAATTTACATTAAACCCTTTTCATTGATTAGTAAACGTTACGGGGAAATGCTAAGTAATAATTCGAATTTGATTTCTATGATAAACAAAGATATGGAAAACATCCAAAGAACATAATTTGGAAACTTAATTTTCCCCGTGTTGCATGCAACAACTTGAGACACAGCAGCACCATTTATAATTATGCACTAAGAACTGTTTTTAGTTTTTGCGTGACTTGCACGCCTGGTCAGTTTCACTTTTCCATAAAACACTGCACACACACTCACAGCAAAAAAAGGAAAACCCAATGGATGGCCAAAATCGAAATGAAGGCTTATTTATCTGCGCCCGATTCGAATGAGGCGCATGCGCAACCGATATGATACAAGTTAGTGGCTAAACAACTGACAACCAGTAACAACCATCGACTAACAACGAACAACTAACAACCGGCACCAGCAATCGCAATGCAAACCGCTCGCTGCCGCGCAAAGTCAGCAACTAACTGATCGATCAGGCCCAAAACCAAAACCAAAGCCAAAGTTAAAAGCCAAGAGAGACGAGACTCCAGCGACGTCGAAACTACAGACTACTACGACAACAAAAAGCTAAACAAAAATGAAAAAATACAAAAAGTAAAAAAAGGAAAACAGCGACAACTTCGAGCGTCGGCGGCAAACGAGACAGCCGCGAAAATGTGTCAAAAGCAAAAGCTGAGCACAGAACTACAGGTGCGTAGGTAAGCACCTGCTGATACCCTGGAAAAAGTGTTAATAAATTTAACATAGCTTTTATAACACTATCAAAAGTCCATAAAATATAGTATATATTAAAAATAAAGTAAATAAATTAATTTATATTCATTTATCATGTCTATAACATTAAAATTATCAGACCAACAAAACTATGTTTTCTTAATGTATATTTATGGCAAATGATTAATGAAAATCTTTCTAACATTAAAATGCAGTAAGGCTATATTTTATAGATTACAAATTAAGTTTATTTTTGATTATTTGTAGAGGTGCTTGAAAATGTTTTAACAAAATAAAAAATTAAACATTTCTACACACGTGAAAACGAAAAATAATAACATTGCATATTGATCCAGTAATACTACATTTCAGATTAACAATTAAACCATGTCCCTGTGAAATTTAATCGCGCGTTTCAAAAGCCATTTATGTATATACAATTTTTCTTATATTTTGAAACATTTACAGATCAAGTTGTACCCCGTTCGAATAAGAGTGCTAATTTAGTTGCCATAGAAAAGTGAAAATAATTGCATAAGGCATAATTATAAAACTAAATCTTATTTCTACGTTTTTATAACCATACATATTTTTTTAAAACCTTAAAAACCTTCACTAATTTGAAAAAATGCTTTTCATTATTTAAAATAAATTTTTTGTTTTATTTAATAGGTAGCAAAATAGCAGCAACAACTTACTGCAACTTTTGGCAGCTTCGATCGATGATAGGTGGAGTGGGTGGACATTTTTGATGTTGCTGTTGTGATGTTGCTGTTGTAATGTTGCTGTTGTGCTGTTGCTGCTGTGATGTTGCTGCTGTGATGTTGCTGCTGTGCTGTTGCTGTTGTAATATTGCTGTTGCTGCTGTGCTGTTGCTGCTGTGCTGTTGCTGCTGTGGTGTTGCTGCTGCAAAGTTGCTGTTGACCTATTTTAGAGCGACTTCGCGGCTGCACATGCGCCTGCATTGTCAAATGCCGATCATCGCCTGCGCGGAGTTTCCCATCCGGGCGACCAACTCCAAGTCCAAGTTTAAGCCAAAGCGAGACCCATCAATTGTGGTAGCTGGCGAAGTGAAAACAATGCCAAACAACTTTTACAATGTCGGCGGCTGCGGGGCCCAAGAAAAGTGACAGTGGGACAAGCAATTAAAAATGGTTTTACGCGCCGAAAGCAACACACAAAAAGGTAAACACCGTCCGTGTAAAAGGTGCTGATGTACGGAGACAGTACAGTGAGCACTGGCTAAGACAAAGTATAAATTAATACCACATTTTCAGAATTTATAATTATATATATTTAGAATTGCCTCACATATGTAAATACTATTACAGTATTTCACAAACAACCAAATCAAAAATCAAACAAACAAAATTCAAACAAATTCAACAGAAATCTTAAAAAATATTAATTAAGTAAAATAATTGTAATGGTTTGTAAATTGTTAAATTGTTGGTTTTGTTAAGTATTTAAAAATTATTTCTGGGTTTTGGTAAGTGTGTTTGATATAAAACTTGAGCATGGAAGACACTTAAAAGGGAATGCCCCTTGTGTGGGTTCGCATGTGATCCTTAAGTCTTGATCTAAACGAATAACACTTCGAGCATTGGGATTAGTTAAAAGGACATTATCCTGCGTGGTTTCAGAAGTGTCTCTTAAGATTAAAATTCTTTGCAACAGCCCTTGAGTAATAGGTTCATTTGTAGGGTCGTTCTTCAGGTGTATATGGATCAGGTGAACATGGATCGATGTACATGGAGAATGGAAATTCTGACCAAAGCCCTTGAGGATTGGGAGCACTTGTTAGGTGAAACTCCAGTATGGGTTCGTAAGTGTACTTTAAGTTTTTATGCATTGGTAAAACTCCTCTAAATATTGGGTTCATGCCTTATTAAAAAATACCCTCTAAATGTGGGTTGTCAAATGCACTTGAAGTACCGATTTCTTTGCAAAGGCATTCGTACAAAAGGGACACTTGAAAAGATGATATTCCGTCGTTTTAGCATCCCAATCGTCAGGATCAGGCTCGTAATTCCCATCATCATTGTGATAACCATGTCCCTGGGACTTATGCCCAAGCATTTCCTTTACAAACGCGCCTTCTTCAAGTGCCTCGTGCTGTAAAATGCATTGGCACTGATCTCCGAGGGGATCATCGTTGTCTGAAATGTCTGGAAAGCCTTCTTAATCAGCATGGGCACTCGATCCCTCGTCCTGGCAGAGCAACAACATGCCGAGCAGGTCCTCCTCCAGCAAATCACTCAAATGGTGGCTCCTGCCCTCCACTTTCTCCATCCCGTTGGCATTCTCCGCATCCGCATCCTCCAGGCAGCTGGTGCATATGGTCTTGGGAAAGATTCCTGCCTAGCAACTGGATGGCCACTCCACTGGAAAATCAATTGCGCAATCGGGGATCTCCGATTTCTGGGACTCATCGAAGATATTGACCATGTGCTTGCCTTTTTCCAAGCAAACACGACATGTTGACGGCTTCATGGCGCTGCAAGTGATTAAATATTTTAATAGATCTCCACGAAATTTCAGTTCTAACTTTTTACGGTCAGATATTAAAGTTGCATAGATTCCTCGGCAGATTGTTTAAACTTTAGCTGCAAAAGCCGGTAACCGATAACCGATAACTACCGGTTATCGGTTGTGGACTTAGCTGTGTTGATTACTAGGGGAGCCCCTGTTAGTTATTTTTTGTTATTTTCAATTTTTGGTATTGCAGTGAAAATTGTTCTCCAACTAAAAGCTAAATGCTAATCAAATATTTTGTGGTATTTCTCAGATTTACTCTCTCTTTTACCTTACGTAAGTATTATTTTAATAGGTATAAAAAGATAGAACGTTTCCAATTTTTGTATGGCCTGTGCTACCCTTTATCTTACATATGTATTCATTTTTATAAACCCCTTAAATTAATAACAAAACCTTCATAGATAAACAAATGCAAATCTATTAATGTTTATACTAAAAAAGAACAATAAAATATTGCATTTAACTTGAAGTCTTAGTAATTTAAATTTTAAGTTAGCATAAAAAGATTCGAGTTATAGAAGTTCAAAATAGCGAAGACACACTCCACATTTAGCGAGTACACAAATTCAGTATTTAGCGAATACATACACCACATTTGGTATCAAGCTAAGTACACACCCCTTATTTGGTATTTATTTTTTGCCCGGCTGGTAATTTTTATTGTTCATGGCGCGGTCATACTGACCATCTTGTTTACTTTGCGCGCAGCGGAAAACCGGGCCGAATATTCAGGCGCTTGAATTTTTTATTCTTTTTTTTCGCCCCGCCTCTTAACGAATTTTTTGCCGCAAAGTGGTGTAAATCGAAAGAGGCGATCGCGCGCGTTTTTTTGTATGTGAAAATGTATTGAAAATGAAAGAAGCGAAAGAGGCGCAAAGAGAGCGAAAGAAAGAAGTGCGTGCCGAAAAAAGAGAGCGGCGAGAAGTGCCAAAAATAAAATAAAATAAGAAACAGGCAAAGTTAAGTGCGGAAGGGCGAAAGGAGAACGAAGAACGAAGAAAGCGGCAAAGAGAGAGCGAAAGCACGGCAACAAGTGGCGAAAATGTGCGACTAAATTGGTAAAAACTCCTGTTTGCTCGCTCTCTCTCTCTCTCACACACACAACTCCCTCCCTCACTTGCACGCGCACATCCCCATCATTTGCCATCTCCCTCGCTCGCCAGATCGCTAGTGGCAACAAAAACAGGAATAGGAACAGTCGGTCAAGTTCAAGTGGGAACGGAAACGGAAAGGAAACATGCGGAGAATATTTGCATCCTGGAATCGGCATCACTACTTCATCACCGGCGTGTTCCTGGGCTTCCTGCTCAGCCGCTACATTCCGCAGGTCATTTGGGAGCTGGTGCAGCAGGAGGAGTGCCCCCAAGAGGTTGCCGAGAACCTGCTCATCGCGCGATTCGGCCAGGAGTTCGAGCCACATCTGAACCTCATCAACAAGCCGCTAGCGGCTAAAAAGCCGGTAAGTCGACTGTTCCCAGTGCTACAGGGTATAAAAATTGAAATGAGGATATTTGTAAAAGGTTCCACTCCGCCTGTTAAATGAATTGCAAAAGATCAGGAGATGTGTTAACAATTATTCCGCATATCCCGAAATCTTAAGAAAAAGATTCGTTAGATAGTGTTTTCCAGTTTAAAATGGCAAAATAATAAATGCCTTATAAGAAATAGAGCCGAAGAAATGTTTACAGGAGCGCTAAAATATTTCTTATAAAGTGGTCCCATTTCTCAGTATTCATTACCTATAACAGCAAGGGACAATAATTTGTGAATTAAATTAGGTATCCAATTTTATAGCGCGTTTTTTTTCATTATTTATATATATATATGATATACATTAAATCTTTAGAACAACATAAAATAATATTTTCATTTCTGATATATAGTCGTTTATTTACTACCAAATTGTCAATTGCAGATGCAGAAATTTATCCTACATCATGCTTCATATTCGGTAAAGGATCCATTATAATAGCTATATCCATTTCCGCATGAGCAATTAATTTATTAATTTAATTTAATTTTCCTATTGACTTGACAAAAAAGTTAGTTTCTAAGATATCTAACCATTTTCTAATCAATTATAATGTGAAACAATTTATTAATTTACAAATCTAAATTCAAGTTTATAATGAAATGAATATTTACCCAAAAAGTGATGTGCTAGTGCAAAAAAAAACCCTAAACATAGAGTTTTGCCCCGATAAAGGCAGTTTTTCATTGTTTAAATAATATTTACAAACCAAGTAATGGTTTCCAATGGGATAGAAATGTTTTAACTTTCGTTATTAATGGAAAATTTAATGTATAAAAACCTAAATGAAAATATTAAGCAATGGGGCTGAGATAATAAATAAAATCCGATTTCGCCAATCACAAATCGTTTCGATTTTTGGAGCCATAGTCTGCGGCTCTGAAATGGCAACCCGAAAATTGAAATGCTTAGCCGACGCGACGACCACATGTCTCATATAACAGGCATCGGCCATCGGGCAGTGCTGATAGCGCTTTATTGACCTTCCTGCTTATCGCCGCAGCACCACACTGGCCTACACCGAATTTCGTTGCTCAGGATAGATTAAAGCTTATCCCATCTCTAACAGATGGTTATAAATTTGTCTCAGCCCCTCTAATGTTGTAAATATAGGCAATTAAATTACTCAAGTCAAAATCCGTGGATTTTCATAATATTTAAAATTTTTTTTAAAAGTTATCATATATTTTTGTAATAAGAATAGACGACTGCAATCTTTGAATATAATTTTTTGTTGATCCTTGGAAACCCATGTGTCACTCAAAATGGCTTTTCTAATTCCCAGAGAAACTCTTACTCATTCACGATATAGTTTCCGCGCGGAGCATTGTAATTAACACCGAACATTTGGTTCACATATTGTTTAAAGTATTTCCCTGGGGCAATGACCCATTCCACACTGCCTATATGGATTCTCCCCGGAGACCCATTGTGCTTCAATTTTCGACCGTTCCGTTTCAGACGTCACTTAATATTTTTCGGCTTGAATTATTTCGCTTATTGATGAACTCTCGTGCACACGCTCAAGTTCCCACTCTGCAATATATTTTATTTATTTATTTTTCTTGTTGAAAAGCTTAGCATTTTGGCGTGACTTGTGAAAAGTTCTCAAATTTCCCCCTGCTCAACTTTTCCCTTACTATTTTCCTTGGGCAGGTCACATTCTTACTGTTTAGAATGCACTGTGTCTGTAAATTCCAGACGATCAGTGCTCGAAAATTAAATTTAAATAAATAAACCCATAAATGTTAACTGATACCCTGTCCGCATGTATTTAAAATTCTCCCTATGTGGTTACGCCAATCGAAAGCACAATTTATTGAATTAAAAAGAGTGCGCAAGAACGGAAGATATTTTTAAACAGTCGAGCTTCGAATACGCTTTAATGTTTGAAAATTGCTTTCATTGGTTTTTTTTTAGCAATCCCAAAATATTTATTTTATGTAAATGAAAAATGACTTGCCAAAACCATTTATTGAGCCGTTAAAATGTATACTTAAAGTGTTTGAAAACTTTTCCATATTAAGACACTGACACTATCATTGAAAAACAACACTGTTAAGTTAATAAAAAAAAACAGGAAATGTCCCCATATATCGAATTAAAAATTTCGAAATAAACTCTAAACCCTTTGGCAGGGCATCATCACGACAAAGGGTTATATCGATAAAATATTTTCTTTTTTCCACCTCATGTTCAGCAAATTATGTCGATTTTTTTTTTGATTTTATATGCTGACGCTTGCGTTATGTTCAACACGTCGGCTATATATAATTTTTTAAGACGCCGCAGCTTAATTTATTGTTAATAATTTGTTGCACGTTTTTATGACATCGCAAACTGGATTGTTGCCATTATTTTGAAGGTGATGTAAAAGTGTCGCCGAAGTTGTCATACAGCTCCAAATTTGCACTTAGCTGGGTCTACTGAAGGGAATACGTAATTGAAAGAGTTGAAATTGAGTATTTAAAACACATGGAAACTTAGAAAACTTTAATGCAATTTAAATCTTTATTAGTCCTTTCCGTTCCTAAAGTTAATTAGTAAATCCATTGGATGATGTGAATGAGTTGTTTAATAGTGACTAAACCCGTTTCGAAATTAACTTAATATGATAATTGTATCTATAAACATTTTGATCGTTCAATAATTTTTTGATTGATTACGGTTTTTATGGAGCAGTTAAAATTGTTGGTTATCATAATTACTGTTTGCTTTAAGTAAGTACTTTAAAATATAGGAAAACAAATTAATGTTAACTTGTGTATACATTTCTTAGATCTTATACCATTTAAATATGCAAATATTTGATTGATTACTTAGGGTAACGATTGCAGACGGTACCCCAATTCTATACTATTTCAGAACTTATTCTTTCAAATTGTTTTGTCCATTTGAGTGATGATTTGCATAACACTTACGTGTTTTTTTTAGGTTCGGTTTCTTGTGTGTCGGTGAAAATGCTTACTTATATCTTTATTATTTCCTTTTTTATGGGGCGCACATGGCTCAAGAGTCACCATTTCGTTGTTGTATTTTTAATGTGCGTAATGAGTGGATGTTAGTAGTAAAGTACGAGTTGGTCTGGTCAGTTTGATCATAATGTCTTAGATAATGTCTTGGAACTCTGGCTTGAGTGATCTTCAAATTGCCAATACCCTAAACTTGATTTTTAATTCTGACAATAAGCTTAAGCAAAGTGAATTTGTATTTAGAAAAAATCGTTAAGTATAATTTATATCAGTTTTATTCTTTGTGACAAGAAAAGCTATAATTGACTTAATAAACACTCTTTAAAAAAGTGAGCTTTAGTTATCAGTTCAAACAAACCTTCACAGTTTAGGTGAAAAATCTTTAAAAAATAATAATATCCTATTAATGAGGCAATGGTCAATTGTTAAGAACGGACATAATTTTTTTCTTTATTATTATCTTACACTCTCAGATTTAATACAACGGGTTAATACCCTGTGAAAGGGTATCACAAGATTATATGTACAAAATTCGGGCAAAAGTCGTCTTCCATTCACTTAATAAAAGACAATAACTGCGTTTACTTAGTGTGGCCCCGTGTGTCCGTGTTCGTGTGTACTTGTTGAAGTTAAAGTAAACATATCTGGACAGATGTATATATACACATATGTATATGTGGTGTAGATATATGCGAACGAGCCGAGAGGCGATTGTGTACACACTATTGCTAAGTGGGAAGTTAAGTGAAATCAGAGCCGGCAGCACTTTGAACTCTAACCCACAGTTTTGTGGATGGTTGGTGGGTCAGCGGATCACCGGATCACCGGATCACCACCTCCACGATCACGATGTGGGGATGATCGATGTGGTGGAGATCAATGGATTTGGATAGGCCGCCTCCGATCTCTCGACACCTGTCCAAACCGACCCAGTTTGGCATTTCAGACACTCTGTTTGTGTTTTGGCTTTCAATTCAAATTTGTATGGGTTTTTAAATTTTTCAAAAAAAAATTCTGGACTTAAAACAGAAAAAAAAGATAAGAAAGACATGGCGTGGTGCTTCCGCAACATTAGGCGCCACATGTGCATGCTAATGCGCCAGAACTTCGCCAAGAGTTGCGAGAGCAAGCTGAACGACCAGATCAACATGGAGTTGAAGGCCTGCCACCAGTACCTGGCCATGGTGAGTGATCCTGGACTGGGGATATTGGGTACAGGATGTGGTAACGCACCAAACAGATGACCCAGCATTACACCATGCATCACCTAAAAATTACTGCGGTATCCAGCCAATATTGTAATCCGATGTTGAGTCAACATTGCAAAGCTTTCTTAAATTTAAAAATCGTATTACTTGAATTAGATTCCGTTAAAACGTGCAGATTGCCAAATTTTAAAGCAAATGCTTTAAAATCGAATCCATATTCTAAACCTAAAAATATTTTTAATATTAAATCGAAAATGATTAGGAAAAATATTGAATTCCTAAGGAAAAAATCACGTAGTGTAAGACTCAGAAAAATACAAGGCAATATTTTATTAAAACTAAATGATTTAAACCTTTTCCGATAAGATAATATATAACATTTTTAACTTATTGGCAAAAATGTTATATAATTTTCGTGTAATCTAATTTCGTACAGACTTTTTTTAATCAATTCAGTGGGACATAATTTGCGGGAGTAAAATAGGATAAATAAAGATAATATTTAACTTTTGTAGGCCTACCATTTCGATCGTTCGGACATCAGTTCTCCGGGATTGCACAGGTTCTTCCTACAGTCGAGTGCCGAGGAGCGGGAGCACGCGGAGAAGATCATGAAGTACATGAACAAGCGGGGTGGTCTAATCGTTTTGAGCAGTGTACCGGAGCCGTTGCCCTGTTTTGCCAGCAGTCTCGATGCTTTGAAGCACGCCCTGAAAATGGAGCTGGAGGTTAACCAGCATCTGCTGGATTTGCATGCTCTGGCTGGCGAGGAATCGGATCCCAATCTGTGCGATTTTATCGAGGCGAACTTCCTGCAGGAGCAGGTCGACGGTCAGAAGATCCTGGCGGACTACGTCTGTCAATTGGAGAAGGCCCACAGCGATGTGGGTGACTATCTGTTTGACAAGTATATGGGTGCTGGAATGCATACAGGCAAATGAACCCCTCGAAATGGACCATCATCATCGAAGTCATAATTTGAACGATAAAATTCCCCATGTGTATTAAATAAAGTATTGGCTTGCCCTCGATGATCTGGTCTTTCTGGCCAAATAATTGGTTTGCTCTTTGTACGCCCACTTATCAGCTGACTTGCGTAGCACTAGGTCTATAAATATACCCGCTTATCGGGCGGTACACGTTGCGCAAGATTTTAATTGAAAATGAAAACGAAACCGTAAACCGTAAACCGAATCCAAAACCGAAGCCGCACCAAATCAAGAGCTAAACCCGTTACCAATGCCGTCTGATAATCGATTTGCGATCGCCACTTTTCGATTGATTGGGCAAACAAGTAAATCTGGATGGAGGAGCAAACAAAAGCCGTGCGAATATATATATATATATCCATTTGGGGGCAAATTCTACCACTCAGTTGGTAATCCCATGACTCAATTTCTCTATGAAACACGAGATATGATAATCTTTGGAGTCTATAAAGATAAAAGTAAAAACAAGTATGATATAAAATAACGTTTGTTTTCCGATTATATAATCAAACGAATGGAACTGGATGATTAAGAAAAGTTTGCTAAATGATAAGCATTTGTGACGTATGTGGGAGGTTATCTATAAAGAGGAAGGTCCTGGAAATTAGTAATAGCAGATAATCTTCAATCCATAAAGATAGTTTTTTTTATAAATTGCAAATACATGTTTAAATTAAGGCATTAAGGAAAATAAATGGTTCGCAAAGGTGGAACTAAAGAGGTACTTAGGAAATAGTCATATAATATTGCTATATTAATACCTATAATCTAATATAAAGTTTAGGTACTATGAGATCCTTAGTTATAAACAGAAAAAGAATTGATAAGTTTGGCTTTGTGTTTATTGTGCCTAAAACCATCTTTCAAGATCATGCTAATTCTGTCTGTTTATTACTATAATTTAACAGGCATTCACTTAATTAAAAAATTAAAATTGATATTATGCTATTAGCAGGAGCTCGAGATAAATTCACCATGATCTAATCACTGAAGTCATTCATGAAGCATGATGAACAGAAACAGCGGGATGCGGTTCCTATAAGCGACTACGATCCACTTGGGAGTTGGGGCATTCCCACAATTGCCACCGAACTCACCCAGATCTGAATGGTAACATCTTGGCGGGGCTTAATTGAAAAGCGCGTCGCATTTCCGGTCTGAAGTCTGCGGCTCGAGGCATTTATATAGAAGGCAGACTGTACGGGACGGTACGGTACAGTTGCCGGCCCCAATAAATTGCCATAAGCCCCCGGACTAGACGATGTGCCTCCCCCGCGGGCGTTAGAAAAAGTCGGTGTCTGGTCGACGGCGCACTTGTCCCAATTAAGATTTGTCCAATCCAATACAATTTGCAGCTGCACCAGCTCTCTCTGGACATGTAAAAAACCGAGCCGAGATTGCCAGCTGCCTATATGCTATATGTACCTGATCCGTATGCCATATGTCTGGGCACTACACATTTTTTTGTTTGGTGATCCAAAGGTGTCGACTCTGCGGTGACTGAGTGATTTAGTAGATCAGCCAAACAAATCAAGACATCAATAAAAATCTAATAGCAATTCATGTCTTAAAAACATTTCTATAAGATCTATGAATTATATTTGATTTTTAAATCAACAATATAAAAACCAAATATCCATACGAATCAAGAAATCTGATAGTGAGGCAATCAATATCAATCCGATTTATATAAGAAATATGAATTCTATTAGAAGCGTTTTTAAATACATTTTTAAATCAACAGTATAAAAACCAAATATCTTGATGGATTCTTAATCATATCAAGATAAATAAAAGTAGGGAAATTTAGATGGTACAAGTGATTGCAAATTAAATGAGTTATCGATTTGTAAAGCAGTCCATTAAAGCTATAAAACTGCGATAGAATAATTAAACTACACTCACAACCAATAGAACGATTCGATTCATAATTGAATCAATTACCGCAGGGTTACCAATGGCTGATCCGTTAATTTAAATAATTGATTTTAAATACGGTTCATTGACGTATTTTATATGTGGGATTGACAAGGGGGTTAAGGGCATTTGTGGGTAAAGCACAAACATTACAGTTTCCTATTTAAAAACATTTTTTTTTTTACACTTTATAAAACACTTTGTCAAATCTAACAACAAATATCAAAGAAGTTTCTCGCATATGTCGTGAGATTGCAAATTCCACTAAAGCATTTAGTACAGTAACTTAATCATTTATAATAGTATCAATAGCACATCAATTAATCGATCACTTAATTTGGATTGTTGAGTTAATGAATCAGAACTGTTTCTCTGTGTACAATAAATAAACGAGCTCTAAAAATAGTTGTAACTTAATGCGAAATAAAAAACAGATTACATTTAATCGTTGGCAAACGATTTGCTTTTATCATTGGCACAATATTTGCCAAGCTTAATTTAAATAACCCCGTTTTAAATCGCATACCTGCTCCAAAATGTCATTCATTCGGCTTATCACACTTTGCTTACAAAAGCAAACACACCTTAAGTAGTCGCCATATAAAAAAATACACCCTCTCAGCTATCTGGAGATTTATTACACCCAAGTCGACGACGAATTCAAGGGCCATATAATCACTGTGAACATTTTATCGCGTCCCAACTTCTAGTTTAACCCACTCCCTGACTCATCAAGCCAAAATTTAAATCAATATTTGTCGAAATAGCAAAGTCTGGGAATATTTCTAACTGATCCTCTTAAATTCGGTAATATTATGACAAGGGTTATTCATTGTTTTGTCAGGGACTCAATCGATTCCTCTGTTATGCGGGGCGAAATAATAAACATCAAAGAACGGGCCATATATTTCAATTAAAATTAAATTTCACTGCTCATAAATAAGATGGTTTTCAATATTTATGTTTCCACCCAAGAATCGTATAATATGCTGTGGATTGTTAACTCCATTATCTATGTTATATGTTTTATTTCATTCAGAAAGAAAAAAAAATGCAGGAGGTATCCTGAGGGAAACTTTTGAAGAGGGTATTATAATTTTAGTGAAAAGTTGGCAACTTTTTTTATTAACTTTCTATAGCCTTTAGTTTGCTGTAGGACAGAAATTGTTAAACCGTTGATAAAATAAACTGTTTATGTATTTTTTCAATTTTAAATAAAAATAATATAATTATAAATTATGAAACAATCAGCAAAACTACACAATTTAATTATAAATATAGAAAATATCATAGGTATACCTGTTTTATCCGAAAATAGGCAACAGGTCTGTATGTATTTCAATTGTATATATAATAGGGTCTGTCGTGGGATCGGTTTACCATAATTGTCGTGGCTCTGTTTTTTGTATATCTCCGAGGAAAGACTTGCCTTTATTACTGCATGGCAGCGAGTAAACAAACAAAATCCCTATCAATGTGTGTTTAATTAATTTTTTTTGAAATGGAAATTGAAATTGGAAATGCCTTTTGTTCTTATTCCCGTTGTTTATGGTTGCCGGTGACGTCGTCTTAGCCATATCTTTCCGCTGATAAGACAGCCAATCGATAAGACGGTTGGTTAGCCAGTTGGCTCGGTTGCTGGCCTGTTCTGTTCTGTTCTGTTCGTCAATAAATTCTCTCCTTAACTCTTTGGCTCACTTCCGTTGTTGTCATATTACGTCACAAGGCTGTTGGTTGTTGTTATCTTTGCCACAACTTGGCCCACGTGCCCCAAAAGACTTCCTCGATCGGTGGCGCAAATTTATCCGCTGGCGGGAAATTTATTAGCTATTCGGGTGTGTATGGTTTATGTGGAATTTGGATCAAAGATGCGAACTCATTGTTCAGGTGAACAAACCTTTTAGTGAATCACATTTTCGCCTGGCACGGCCTTGTTACCTGAATCGTTAAAAGCCGACAAGTTTTTAGGAACTGATATACACACATATATAAAGATGAACAGTCTCAACTGGCAGTCAACGATTCAATTGAATCTTATTTGTTATTAACAATTTTAAATTTTAGAAGAGGTCTATAAATTAGCCGTAGATTAGAGTTGAAAATATAGAGCTTTCAGTTTTTGCCAAAAAAAATAACAAGTATAAAAAAGTTGTACTCATAAACCCTAGATAGAAAATTCAAATTTATACTTTTCAGCTTTTCTGCTGATAATAAGTTAATTAAGAAAACAAATATTTATTAAACCAAAATTCACATGTTATTTTTGAATGTATTAACGCAAATAAAAAATAATATAACAAATAAATATCAGATTTCAGAAAAAAATATAGTGAATTCTTAAAAATTGTTTTCTTAACACAAATTACTTTTAAATCAACGTTTTTTTTTTTTATTAAAATATCAGTATGCAACACCTAACAGCGACCACTGTTTATGTGTTGATTTCTTGAAAAAAGTTTATTCATTGAATTTCCCATGCATCATTCATATTTGGAAAAGCATTTTTATTTACCCAAAAACGCTACAAAACATCCAACCGAAATAACACGAATCTCGAGAGCGATCTTAGCCGAATTGGACGTTGTTTTCTTTTGGTGTTATTTTTACCCGTGGTTTATCTTTCGGCGATATTTACACATTTGATGATTGGCAAATGTGCGTGTACGTATGCGTATGCGTCTCGTCTCTTTAGCCCGAATCCATCTGTGGTATTGGCACAAGGTTAGATCTTGAACCGATCCACCGTGGATCAGCGGATCAAGCTGTGACCCCAGCGCGGTAATTAAAGCGCCACATGGACCCATTAAGTGGGCAGCGATTGCATACGATTGCAACGATACGGGGCACGCGGTGCTGCAATGCCTGCAATTCAATTAAATCGAAATTGAAATTGGTTTTCTCGATCGCGCCTAACGCGACTTTGATTGGCCCCTTCACAGCGAGAAAAAACTGGACTTAAAATGAAATATTTCCCTATAAATAAAATTGGATATTGCCCATGAACGATATAAAAATATTGGAAGGGTTATAATATATATTTATATACTGAAAAAATGTAGAATTAAGAATAAAAGAGCGAATGCTTTGTTATATAAAATAAAATACCTTAATATTTTAGGTACATTAGGTTCCCTTTGAAAGCCGTCATTATCCGCATTAGCCGTATTATCTTCCCTGATACTTAAGAAACTTGTTATTGATTACTCAATTAAATGAATCTCAATTAATGTTTTCGGTGTCTCTGGCTCGCTTACAAATATAATACATATATTTATTAAGGTGATTACTGCTAATTGCCACCGCAGGCGAGTGTGTTTTTTTTATCCAGCTAGCAACGTTGAACGACACTCCATTCCGCATCCCCACTCCTCTGATTTTCACTCTCGAACTCGCTGACCACTTGAAAACCATTCGGTCCAAGGACTGGGCAAAACTCATCACAAATTAAAAAAAAATACACACAATGAGTTAGAAAATATAAAAAATTTGTTTTACCGAATCGATTCATTTTTTTTTGGCAGACATTTTGTCTGAGAATCAAATTACGATCAATTATTTCCTCAATTTTTTGTCTAACTGGAATGAAAATCACTTGTCTAACTTATGTAAATATTTTAAATATTTGTTGTTGTATAAATATGCTTTTCTTAAAATTCCCGATACAGCTTATACATTTAGGCAAATGTTAGAATCTCAAAAAAAAAATATTTGGTTTTCGAACACAACAAAAATTATGATGCTACCCCTTTTAAAAAAATATTGTGGCCAAAATCCGGAACAAATCATCTCGATTTTTCGGTCCTAATCCCTTTTGTTTGTTTTGTTTAAAAACATATATTTTCTGTGTTAAAATTGTTCCATCTTGACTTTCTATTTTGGTAAAAAAGTACTTCGAGGAAGTACTGAAATACCCACCGTCCTTAAAAAACATGAAGTAATACCAATCGCAACTGACCCTGGCATCGCCGTCGGCTTTACGATGCCATATAAACACGGCAGCAAACAGCTTGTTTGCCGTTATTAAAGATCTATTAAGAATGATTTTTAATTAGCCATAATTCCTGTAAACTGCACAGCCCCAGTCAGCATATACCTGGACAAAAAACCACCTCGAGTTTGGTCCGAAGAGCTTGCACAACTGGCAATTGTTTATCCAACGAACTCAGGTGGAAATCAAGGTGGGGGAGGTGGAAAATGAGGAGGAGGAGGAGGAGTGACCACCTTGCACGCATCTCTTTGGGTCAACAGTGGGTTAAGATGGTCAGTAAATTACTCAGCCAGTTGCATGTACATATGCAAATTTCGAAGGGCGGCTAAACGCCCACTTAAACGCTTAACAAAGTTTACAATGTTTACCTAATTTTCTTTCTTTAAATTACTTTGCACAGTGAGTCACACGATTTTTTGCGTAAAGCTATATTTCAATTCAGTGGAATTCTGTCAGTACTCAGTATTCCATTAAATTCCAAACAAAAGCTGAAAAACAATTAAATTATTTGGTACTATAAATTATGTGCGTTTATGTTTATAGTTTCTTATTGACAGCAGTTTTATGGCAGCCACTACTGAACATTGCTAAGATTTTATTAAAGTTTAATTGAACTCGAGGTCACGTTTGTTATATTCAATTACTACTATAACACATAGTTTTTTTCTTAAGCCCCATTTACTAAAATAAACTTCGTAGAAAAGTGTATCACATTTTGTAAATATGTCAATTAAAAGGTTTAATATGTTCTTAAAAAATAATAAGTATGTATGTATGTATATGCTGACTTTTTATACCCTTGCAGAGGGTATTATAATTTCAGTCAAAAGTTTGCAACGCAGTGAAGGAGACATTTCCGACCCTATAAAGTATATATATTCTTGATCAGCATCACCAGGAGAGTCGATCTAGCCATGTCCGTCTGTCCGTCTGTCCGTCCGTCTGTCCGTCCGTCTGTCAGTCTGTCCGTCTGTCCGTCTGTCCGTCTGTCCGTCCGTTTCTACGCAAACTAGTCCCTCAGTTTTAAAGCTATCTGCTCGAAACTTTCCCAAAAGTTGTCTTTCTATTGCAGGTAGTATATAAGTCGGAACGAGCCGGATCGGGCGACTATATCATATAGCTGCCATATAACTGAACGATCGGAAAAGCCATAACTTTGGTGTTTTTAAAGATAAGAAGTTGGAACTTTCTATGGGTTTTATTTTTGGCCAATCAATCCGACATACCGAATTTCATAAGGATCGGCTGACTATATCTTATAGCTGCCATATAACTGATTGATCGGAAGTGCCATAACTTTGGTGTTTGTAAAGTTAAGAAGTTGGGATTTTCTATGGGTTTTATTTTTGGCCAATCAATCCGACATACCAAATTTCATAAGGATCGGCCGACTATATCTTATAGCTGCCATATAACTGAACGATTGGAAATGCCATAACTTTGGTGTTTTTAAAGTTAGGAAGTAGGGATTTTTTATGAGTATTAAGAATGCATCATATGAATAATTTTGGAGAATATAATTTACAGAGTATTCTGCAAGGGTATATCAACTTCGGCTCCGCCCGAAGTTAGCTTTCCTTTCTTGTTAAAATGTAATTTTTATGATTTTTATACTTGTCTATTAAATTATTAGCAAAAATAATTTGTAATTAAACTTTTTATGCAGAGCGGAAGCATAAAAATATTAAATAACGACTAAAATGGATGTAAGTCACATGATTCTCCTAAGACATAATAAATAATAATAAGTATTCCATTCGACGTCCCCAGAGATTTCAGTTGTCAACTAGCAAAATCACATGGTGTTAAGTCCATGACCTGACATTATTATCGTTTCTAGGCATTCTGGGAAACGAATTTGGTAATATTTTTTGGCTCAGTCATTATAGCCACAAGATAGTGGATAAAATTGTTTTTCGTGGGGAATTCCTCGTTACCGTGCCAATCTTTGAACAGTCATTTAATCGTAAAAATAAGAAATAAGACTTGCCTTCAAGTGGGCAAAGAAAAATGGAAGCACTTGAAAAGTCAAAGAGTTTACGAGGCAGTCGTCTTAAGTACATAAGCGTGTAGGAATAGATGTAATTGGGGAGATAATAAGACCCTTAACGCACTTTTATTGGGTTGAGTGCATGTCAGCAGCTAAAAATAAGCAGGTGAAATAGATAGATCATTTTACTCATATTGCTGGAAAGTTTTTTGGATCCAAATAGAACATATTAAAAGCCAGATGGTGGATCTTTAGAGGAAACAAGAAAATTTATTCAAGATAATTTTATGATATTTCTTTGAAACTACCTTTGCATATAACAATTCCACATTACGGGCTTCCCAAAAACGAAACACTTTTTTTTTAGAGGAATCCGATTCATGATAAAAATAAACTAGCTCTCTTAAGTCACGTACCCCGTTTGGTAATTTTAGAACCCAAGGGTTCCCCTTCCCACGCGCAGATCGATCGGTACTTGGATATCCAGAATTTATTCACCCTAAATCATTGGAGATGCTTTCGAGATCGCTTCTCCTGTTCCACATAATCGAATTGTTGAGTTATGAATTCGATTCACGGAACTGGAGAAGTTAATTATCACAAGGGCCTTGTGCCTGGCATTCCATTCTTCTGGTTACAAAACCAAAGATTGATTACGAAAAACAAAGTATGTAGTTTATTAGATGGAAATGTTTGCAAATTATTTGCTTACATTAATGGTAGATACTCGTAAAAGTTGAAAATAAATCATTTTCTCCAAGTAAGTTCAATGAAATGATTAAAGCTTTTTATTACATATTTAAAATTTATATATTCTGTTTAACGGATTACAACAGGCATAATTATTTTGTTTTTTAATTGTTTTCGGCACGAGTTTATACATTCAAGTCTGAGTTTTGTTAATAATCTCTCTTAATAAGAGAATAATGAACAAGAAGTGACAAATAATTTTTAACATATCAAAATAGGCAGCACAATTTCTAGAGAAAATGTTTTATTTTATAACCTGTTTAATTATTGGGATATTTAATGTTAAACAAGTGCATACAATATTTGTGATTTAAATTCTGTAAAATTAAAAATAAATGATAATATTACTTTATATTTGTTTTACTAAATACTTTATTTCGTTTACTATTTTGTAGGTGAAAAATGTGATTCGACCGCGCTACTACTCCTCGGAATTGGGCATCCGCGAGAAGCTCTTCATCGGGGTGATGACCTCGCAGGAGCACATCAACACCTTTGCGACGGCCTTCAACCGCACCACGGCCCACCTGGTGAACAAGATCAAGTTCTTCATCTATGCGGACAGTGTGAAGACCAACTACAAGCTGAAGAACATTGTGGGATTCACGGACACGCGGGAGAGTCGGCGACCCTTCCACGTGGTCAAGTACATTGCGGACAACTATCTGGATGAGTACGACTACTTCCTGCTGGTCCCGGACACCGTCTACGTGGATGCCCGGAAGCTGGTGAAGCTGCTCTACCACATGAGCATCACGTTCGATCTGTACATGGGTGGGGCCCGCATCGGTCTGGATCCCGGAGGCAGTGCCTCCGTTGATGGCCAGTCAAATGAGCCGGCCGGGAACGAGGAGGAAATACCCGGGAGCAGTGATCGCAACTACTGCTCCCTGGAGGCGGGCATCCTGCTCAGCAGCAGCGTCATCCGCAAGATGCGCAACAATCTGGAGCGCTGCGTACGGATCGGGAGCACCAATGACCACAGCGTCAACATCGGGCGGTGCGTCAAGTATGCCAGTCGGGTGGCCGGATGCCAGGAGAGCTTCCAGGTGAGTCCCCCTCAAAACCCGATCCCGATCCCGGCCAGAATAAGTGGTGTTTTTGAAGATATATTAGCCTTAAAACAACAAACAAACAAAGCTAGAACGTACATACTATATTTTCTAAAAGAATAATATAACAAAGTAAATCTTAATTGTTCTCAAAAATCTGTTTAAAGCAAATCTTAATTGTTCTAAAAAAAAAAATCTTTTTATTTTGCTGAAAAACCGTCTAGCCATGAATAAATTAAATAAAACTTACGCAATTTATTGCCGAATAAATTGTTTATGCTTTAATTAATTTGCCGCCGCCTGGTTTTTATGCTTTCTCAGTTCTATTTTGTCGTGAAATCTGTACGCGTTTCCTACATGTCGTTTTATTTACTTAAACAATTTGATATTGACTCGAAACAAAATGAACACAGACACACGCACATTCGAACACACAAACTGATCTTGATCTTTGGTCAATAAAAAATCAGTTCATTGATAGACAGTGTCAGCAATACAAATTCAGATGATTTTTATTTGACAATTATAGACTTTTGAAATTTGAAACATACATATGTATAATAATTTGAAAGTACATAATAATTATTCGCAAATGGTAGAATTTAGTACTTTCTGAAAACTCGAACAACACTGCCGAACAGTGACCCTGAAAAGCCAAAGAAAATAATAAAAAGAGCCAAGCACCAGCATCACGCAAAGATACTCTCACACACAGAGGCGTACGTTATATTTTTTGTAAGGGGGTTCTTAAGCATTGAGCGAAATTAATAGATTGAAAAAGTTATAAAATACTAAGACAACAATACGATTGACAAATAACAAAGGTTAGTCATTTTAAAAACCGATGTTCTTAAATGTATCAATAAATCTTGAAGCCTTAATAATAATATTTCACCATGTGAAGTATATCAAAGCTAACTTTAAATTCCCTCGTTACCAAATAAGTAATACATTTATAAAAAAAACTTTTTTTGAAAATCCCAAAGTTTAAAAGATTAAAATGAAATCGCTATTTTTTTAACATTATGGTCACAAGATTTATTTTACTTTGCTTTTTAACTCCAGCAATTGATTTTTACAAGCTGAATATATATTTGGCTTAGAATATTTTATAAAAATATTATTTGTAAGTTGACTTTAGGGCTTACCCCTAAAATCTCCACTTCGTACGCCACTGGTCAAACACATACACACAGAAAGCAGATGAGCAACCGAATTCGGAGCAAGACCAGTCCACTCAGTTGATGGACAACACAGTTTATTTATTTAATTTCCAAGTGGCAACAAAAGAATTTCTTTGCCGTCGGTTAAGTGTGCGTAGGGGGCGTGGCACTGGGCGGGAAGGCTGTGAATGTTAACTTCACATCGTGACAGTTTAAGAGCAACTACTCAACGTTTTCAGTTAATTCGTACGATAATCGTGCATTCTTTTTCTTGATTCTATTGTTTCGAAAATTTATTTTTATTTTTCTTATATTTTTACAAGTATAAAAATTAAATAATATATAATAAATAATTATAAAATTAAGAGCTTCTTAACTTTTGTTCGTCATTAGACTTTAAAAAATATTCCAACTTTTTGACAACTGTTTGAAATGGTTGTATATTTTCAATTTGAAAAATACCTTTGAAAATACTCTCATTTTGAATGAATTAACCAGCAAACACAGTACTTCCGCTAAAGCAGAGGTGGGTGTGTCTTACTCATTATCATTTCTGATTATTGCTCTATTTATATGAACACGCAGTTTAGTTTGGCATAAACAGTCGAAGAACCGTGAGTAAATGGAACTTTTTCAGCTGGTTGATGTTTAGATGGTAGCTTCATGTTCGTTTGATTTGGATTGGTTTGTTTGGATTTGCGTTTATTTATGCGGTGGGGCAGCATGGAATGATTTATGTCCTATGTGTGGTCTCTGCACATCAGCAAACAGTGGTGGTAAATATTATACCACTGAAAATTGAAGGTGTTTCATGTCATCTTTTTTTAGGGGCCAAGAAATACTTTTTTTATTTTGAGTTATGTATTTGAAAATGATTTGCATAATTGTAAATAATTGAATGTATTACAGAGATTCAATCATCAACTCAATTCAATAGATTTCTTAAACAAGAACCACCAAAACTTTAGATCCTATCAATCTATTTTGTGTTATGAACAGTATTATCGATAATCATGATATTTCATATTTTTGATACTTAACTACAAAATTAATGAAAAAATATATTTATTAACTGTCGCAAATACTTTGTTAATTGTAGGAGGCGTTTTTAAATGCTTTTATTTCGACTGCAGCTGTCTAAACAAAAGCGGGGAATATGCAAGTGTGTTTGCCGGAGTGTTTCTCTTAATTAACTGGCCTAAAGAGTTTGCTTATCGGCGTCTTCAAAAGCTGCACTGCGGTCCATGTTGCCGGGAATTGATTAATGTGCGCGGGCCAATTAAAAGTGCTCCGAATGGAAAATGCATAGTGGGGGAAAAGAGGACTGAGGAAGTGGGAGTGGCAAATCCGCGATCTAATGGGCTATCTTTGTTCCATTAGTGCGACATTGTTAATTTAATTATGCTTATTCTTGCCCGTTTTTTTATGGATCGTAAAAGGGATCGGTTCATGGCGAGCATGTGGCACTGCAGCCGTGGGATCCCCAGCTCGACTTCCCTTCCACGAAATCGATCTGAACTTGACCTTGACCTTGCTTAGCCAACTCCCTCTAAAGTGCATTTATTTATATATAAATATCTTTATCTTTATGGCTTTGCAGGGCATGAGGCAGTATAGCTACTCCTTGGAGGCGCCGGGCCGCCGACATCGCGACTTCAGCGAGTTGGCCAAGGAGGAGGCCTTCCGCAATGCCAGCACCGTGTATCCCGTCCAGACGCCGGAGGACTTCTACCGCCTGCATGCCTACTACTCCAAGGTGAGTAAGTCGTTAGAAAAGGGATTTAGAATATCTTATGGTTCATATATCAATATATACTGATATCACTTTGTTTAGTTCCGGAAATTCCTATAATATTTACAGAAGGCTTACATTAACATAAAGTTTTTAAAGCTATTTTTAAATAAATAAACAATTGTTTTTTTAAATCATTTGACATAAATCACAACCAAACTTAGTGAGATACTTGGGCCTTGCGATTTTAATTATTACTTAGTTGTAATATTATGATAGAATTTAAAGATAAAACATTAGTGAAATAAAAGAATTTGTACAAATTTACTAAGTGGGGGATATATAGTTATTTGTTTTAATATCTATTGATAATTTATTATAAAAATATATATTTTCCCTTGAAATCTCTAGAGATTTAAATATATATATATATATATATATATTTATTTGTTTAAATATCTATTGATAATTTATTATAAAAAATATATATTTTCCCTTGAAATCTCTAGAGATTTGTGTGTATAATAATTTCTAAATAAATTATGTGGCATTATCAAAAACTCCCTCCATTTTGCAGCATCACCTGGAGAAAGTGCAGGAGCGTGGCTATGCGCTGGAGCAGAAGTCGTACCGCATTGCAAATGGGAGTATCTCGAACAAGATCCTGGAGATCCGCTGGCCACTGGGCGTGCCGCCACCTAGTGCGCCGGAAACGCGCCACGACATCCTAACGTGGCAACTGCTGAACGGGACGCACAGCTTTCTGCCGAACGGCAACGCGGAGCACGCCTTGGCGCCGCTCTCGCGGATCGAGGCCCTGGACTTCGCCAAGGTCCTGGAGATAGCGCTGCAGTATGCGGCCCTCAAGCATCCGCGCCTGAGCTACCACAGCCTGCACAGTGCCTACCGGAAGTTCGATGCCACCAGGGGCATGGACTACCAGCTGCACCTCAGTTTGCAGGAAGGATCGGGTCGGAGTCGCCGGCTTCTGGTCAAGAGCTTTGAGGTGGTGAAGCCATTGGGTCGCGTCGAGGTGGTTCCCTCGCCATACGTCACAGAGAGCACGAGGATTGCGATGTTGGTGCCGGCCTTCGAGCACCAGGTGCCCGATGCCCTTCAGTTTGTGGACCAGTACGAGAGGATTTGCATGCAGAATCAGGACAACACCTTCTTGCTCCTGGTGAGTTCAATGCTAGTTTTACATTTTAGTCCCTAAAAAAAACACTATTCAATCGCGTAGATCTTCATGTACCGCCTGGACTCGCCCAGCAAGGGCGACGAGGATCCCTTCAAGGGCTTGAAGACGCTGGCCCTGGACCTGTCCTCCAAATACAAGACGGATGGCTCGCGGATCGCCTGGGTGTCCATCCGGCTGCCGGAGCAGCTAAGTGATGCGGTGGATCCGCAGGACTGGCTGCTGCACGCCTCCATGTACGGCCCGCGGCAACTGCTCAGCCTGGTGGTGGCGGACCTGGCGCTACCCAAGCTGGGTCTCGAATCGCTCGTGCTCCTGGCCACCCCGGGCATGGTCTTCAAGGGCGACTTCCTCAACCGCGTGCGCATGAACACGATCCAGGGGTTCCAGGTGTACGCCCCGATTGGCTTCCAGATGTACCCATGCCGGTGGGCGCAGTTCTGCCGGGAGTGCGACACCTGCGACGTCAGCCAGAGTGGGGGCTACTTCGATCGCCGCAACCACGACGTGATCGCTTTTTACAGTCGGGATTATGTCCAGGGTATGTCATTTTCTTGGATTGCTCATTGGTGTGTTTCTCACTTGATAGAGTTCACTAATGTTGTTAATAGTTTTTGTTCACTGGTTCACTTATTTAATTAAAAGAGGGTTTAGTTGTTCAGCACTTAATTAATTGTTAAATTAATACATGATATGTTTAGTGTTTCACTGGCTTAATTAACTAGTGTTCATTTGCTCACTTGTTCAGTTTTCCCAGGGCTTAATTTGCTTGCTCATTTCTTTAAATGATTCTCTTTTGATTCATTTTACTTAAGTGAACTGCACTAATGATTTTTGTATCACTTGTTTACTTACTTAGTCTGCTGACTTTGTTCATTGGCTTTTCTAAGACTTGTGAGAAGTTAGAGGGGAAACAAGTTAACCACTATAAACCAATGTCTAAAATGACTCATTCGTTGTTTACCCTTTATCCACTTCCAGCCCGCAAGCTGTTGCATCCGCAGGGCTTGCCGATCATCCGCAGCGACCTGGACATCGATCAGTTGCTGCTGCAGCCCGGTGAGGAGACGCGACCACCGGGCGTGGAGAGCATCCTGGACATGTTCGTGGCGGCGCAGCACTCGGTGCACATCCTGCGCGGCGTAGAGCCGAACCTGCGCTTCGGCCAGGATGTGCGGAACCACCTGGCTCGCGGCGGATCGCTGCCGGAGAGCCAGCCGGAGCGATGTGGTCGGGAGCAGTGCATCCACCTGGCGTCCCGCAAGCAGATCGGTGACGCCATCATACGCTACGAGGACAAAAGTATTCTGCACAAATAGCAGGGATCCGAAGGCCTCTTTCGCCAGCTCCAACTCTAGCTCCAGCTCCTGCTCCTGCCTGTAATATCATCAGTTCCTTTTTAATCTATTTCCATGTGTATATGATCGCGTGAATGCAAAATGTGTGTGTGTGTGCATGCCGAATAGATCCTATACAGGACTTATGCAAACTTTTATACTCGCACCCAAGGCTTAAACCCCATTTGGATACATTTGGATTGGGATGGTGGGACACGTGTGTAAGACCTGTTGCGGACCTATCTCAATCCCAACTTAGTGTTTAGGCCTAGGCAATTTCCGTTGTTGCTTGCTTTAAAGTGAAACTTTCAATGCTCAAAAATGGTAGACAGCAATTAGTTGTAGTTTAACTAAACGTAGTTTTAGCTGCCAAACGTGTAGGACAGTTTTAGGATAGTTGTTCGAGCCATTTAAACAGACATTCGATTTTCGCATGTAAATACTTAGCATACGCCACATATCTCTATTAACAATTCCTATCTTTCATATTGCTACCAAGTACGTTAGTCAGGCGCACCATTGACTCCTATTTAAATGACTAGTTAAGCTAAGTGTTATACTACTACGATCTAAGTGAAACGAACGATGTGGCTGTACGAAAAACAAACAAATGCCGCCTTGCCTCAAAGTGTTACAATCCCCATGAATGGGCTCTCTCAATAACGGTGTGCCAAAAAAGGAAATATTATAGAAAAGCTGGTCTAAATTCCCTACTTCGTTCCTCTTTTAAAAATGAATGTTAAAATGTAAAAATTTATATAGATATCGGCTAAGAGAGAATATGAACATAAAATTCCGTTGAAAATTTACCGTCAACAAATCGAAAAAGAAAATATATATTTTTGTTTTATTTATTTATTTTTTTTTTTGATAAGATAATGTCACGTTTTTTGTATGGCAATATTTTATAACATTAGAGGACCTTGTAAATAAATCAATACACTTTAAAGAAAAAATCAGGTGAAATTCTATTTTTAAACTAGAATTGTTAAGTGCTTGCCAGTGTATCTTAGCCGATATCTACTGTAACGACGAGACTAGTTACATTATGTAATTATTTTGCCCATTTGCCAGCACATAAGTCTTAGCATCGAATAAGAAGTCTGCCAGTCAAATTCTTATCATTACGATTACAAAAGGGGAAATCCGATTAATTTATTGCAAAATTTTGTGTATGTAAACGCGCCAGGAGTAGTCCTCCTCCCCCTTGTCCCAAAAAATCAATTTTTTTTACCTTTAGTCATAGTGTAAATTTACTATATATGTTTACTGTTTATGTTTAGGAATTGTTGTTATTGCAGAATAATACAAATTATGTATGTGCATATGTACAATAAATTTGGATGTTTTCTTTAACTGAATCGTTGGAATTGATTTGTATTTCCTATTTTTGCATCAGGAAGCTGAGATCCGCTTGGGGGGCTAGCTCCTCGGCCTCGCCGTCACTGCAAAAATATTAGAAATAGAGATATTGAGATATTGAAAACTAAAAATGAAGGCCCAAACCAAAGTATTAATGTGCATAGAGTTCTTAACACTGATATAATCCATGAGTTAATTATTGACCTATACATATACATAACTCGAAATTTTAATTGTGCTACCCATGAAATGTGTTACTTCTAAGTTTCCAATGTGTTGTTAAAAGGAGACCCACATCTGGACTTCCGGAGTTCATAACTTTACCAAATTTGATCCGATTTGAAAGTGACATACCTCCTAAGACTTGTGGGTTCATTCTCAAAAAATCTGCATTCAGATTTTTCATTTTAACGTTGGTCCAATTTTTGACCCATTTTCATGTCATTTATTTCCAAGTTTCCGATGTGTTGTTAAAAGGTGACCCACAGCTGGACTTCTGGAGACCATAACTTTACCAAATTTTATCCGATTTGAAAGTGGCATACCTCCTAAGACTTGTGGTTTGATTCTCAAAAAATCTGCATTCAAATTTTTCATTTAAACGTTGTTCAAATTTTTGACCCATTTTCATGTCAATATTTTTCTATTTTCCGATGTGTTGTTAAAAGGTGACCCTCAGCTGGACTTCCGGAGTCCATAACTTTACCAAATGTTATCCGATTTGAAAGTGGCATACCTCCTAAGACTTGTGGTTTGATTCTCAAAAAATCTGCATTCAAATTTTTCATTTAAACGTTGATCAAATTTTTGACATATTTTCATGTCATTTATTTCCTAGTTTCCGATGTGTTGTTAAAAGGTGACCCACAACTGGACTTCCGGAGTCCATATCTTTACCAAATTTTATCCGATTTGAAAGTGGCATACCTCCTAAGACTTGTGGTTTGATTCTCAAAAAATCTGCATTCAAATTTTTCATTTAAACGTTGTTCAAATTTTTGACCCATTTTCATGTCAATATTTTTCTATTTTCCGATGTGTTGTTAAAAGGTGACCTTCAGCTGGACTTCCGGAGTCCATAACTTTACCAAATGTTAACCGATATGAAAGTGGCATACCTCCTAAGACTTGTGGTTTGATTCTCAAAAAATCTGCATTCAAATTTTTCATTTTAACGTTGATCAAATTTTTGACCCATTTTCATGTCATTTATTTCCAAGTTTCCGATGTGTTGTTAAAAGGTGACCCACAGCTGGACTTCTGGAGACCATAACTTTACCAAATTTTATCCGATTTGAAAGTGGCATACCTCCTAAGACTTGTGGCTTGATTCTCAAAAAATCTGCATTCAAATTTTTATACCCTTGCAGAGGGTATTATAATTTTGGTCAAAAGTGTGCAACGCAGTGAAGGAGACATCTCCGACCCTATAAAGTATATATATTCTTGATCAGGATCACCTCCTGAGTTGATATAGCCATGTCCGTCTGTCCGTCTGTCCGTCTGTCTGTTTCTACGCAAACTAGTCTCTCAGTTTTAAAGCTATCGGATTGAAACTTTGCACACACCCTTCTTTCCTTTGCACGCAGTATATAAGTCGGAACGGCCGGGATCGGCCGACTATATCCTATAGCTGCCATATAACTGATTGATCGGAAATGCCATAACTTTCGTGTTTGTAAAGTTAGGAAGTTGGGATTTTCTATGGGTTTTATATTTGGCCAATCAATCCGACCTACCAAATTTCATAAGGATCGGCCGACTATATCCTATAGCTGCCATATAACTGATTGATCGGAAATGCCATAACTTTGGTGTTTGTAAAGTTAGAAAGTTGGGATTTTCTATGGGTTTTATATTTGGCCAATCAATCCGACCTACCAAATTTCATAAGGATCGGCCGACTATATCCTATAGCTGCCATATAACTGATTGATCGGAAATGCCATAACTTTGGTGTTTGTAAAGTTAGGAAGTTGGGATTTTCTATGGGTTTTATTTTGGCCCAATCAATTCGACATATTAAATTTCATAAGGATCGGCCGACTATATCCTATAGCTGCCATATAACTGATTGATCGGAAATGAAATAACTTTGGTGTTTTTAAAGTTAGGAAGGTGGGATTTTTTATGAGTATTAAAAATGCATCATATGAATAATTTTGGAGAATATAATTTGCAGAATATTCTGCAAGGGTATTTCAACTTCGGCTCCGCCCGAAGTTAGCTTTCCTTTCTTGTTCATTTTAACGTTGATCAAATTTTTGACCCATTTTCATGTCATTTATTTCCAAATTTCCGATGTGTTGTTAAAAGGTGACCCACAACTGGACTTCCGGAGTCCATAACTTTACCAAATTTTATCCGATTTGAAAGTGGCATACCTCCTAAGACTTGTGGTTTGATTCTCAAAAAATCTGCATTCAAGATTTTCATTTAAACGTTGTTCAATATTTTGACCCATTTTCATGTCAATATTTTTCTATTTTCCGATGTGTTGTTAAAAGGTGACCCTTAGCTGGACTTCCGGAGTCCATAAATTTACCAAATGTTATCCGATTTGAAAGTGGCATACCTCCTTAGATTTGTGATTTGATTCTTAAAAAATCTGCATTCAAATTTTTCATAATAACATTCTTAATTTATCACTTGAGTAATTTAAATACTATAATGGAACCCGTACCCCAATGTGAAAGTCGACTTACGGCTTGAACAGCTTGGCGTGGCGATCGCCCAGGAGCGTGGCCTTCTCGCCCTGGACGCGGACACTGGTGCCCTCGCGCAGACCGAGAACGGGCAGTCCGTGGTAGGCCACGAACTCCTCGATCCGCTCGTCCCGCGTCTCGCCCTTGTGCTGGCTGCCCGACTCCGGATCCAGGTAGTGCGGATTGATGTTGAAGGGGACGAGGGCCAGGGCCTCGAAGCTGGGCGGATAGGCCACCGGCATGTCGTTGGTGGTGTGGATGGACCTGGTGGCCACGTTGGTGCCGGCACTGCTGCCCACATAGGGTAATCCCCGCTGGAGCACCAGTTCCCGGATCGGATCGAGCAGCTGCATCTCGTAGAGGGTGCGCAGCAGGACGAAGGTGTTGCCGCCGCCCACGAAGATGGCCTGTGCCTCCTTGAGAGCCTTCTCGCGATCCGGTTTCGTGTGCAGTCCCTCCACATTATATCCCCATGGCTGCAGGGCATTCCGCACGGTGGCGGTATACTTGTCGTGATCCCGCAGAGCGTACGGCACAAAGAGAACCGTCTTCACATTGGCACTAAAGGGGAGATAAATCTATTATTTATTTTATACAATAGAATATTAATCATTAAAGTACTAGTTTTAATAAATACATTTATTTCTGAACTCCCTACTATTACCTACAGCAATATATATAAAAAAGTATGATCTATAATTTCTGACTTTAAAAAACGTTTGCTAGATTTCAAGACTATAAAAAAAAATCTGGAGATTCTTTGTTTTATATTATTTTGAAATCTTTTTTAAAAATAAATCTGGTTAATAACCTTAGCTTAAACTTTATATTAGATACATATTTCATTAATATATCAAGTTTTAGTAGATAGGTTCTGTTACTGCTGATACGCGTTATCATTTATTATTTATGCGAAGATGTCTTTTCCAAGAAAGATGCATCGGTGGAGTTCTGTTCTTTGTGGAATATAGTTACCCCTTGAAGAGATCCTCCAGTTGGCCGCGGGCGTGCTCCAAATATCCATGGCCATGCAATCGCGACGAGGAGAGCAGCAAAAGGTTCCGAGCACTGGCCATTTCTTCAGCAATCTAATCGTCGGATTGGATGGTTCCCAGTTCACCAAGACGGGCAGATTAGCAGTTTTATGACCACTGCTAGGGATGTGCCTTGGAAATATCGGAGTAAGACCACAACACAGCCTTATCACAAAGCAAACAGGGGAGTAGTTAATTTAGATTTCCACGGGGTACTCAGAACCTGATTCAAATCTATAAACAGAACAACCTTATCACAAAGCAAACAGTGGAGTAGTTGATTGAGATTTCCTCGGGGTACTCAGAAGCTGAATCAAAATTATAAAAATATTTTCATTTATGTAATGTTTTTTTTTTTGAATTCTATAAGTCCGAATTTTTAACTTAACTTTAAATGGATTTGTCTTTAACAAGAATTCCCCATTTTTGTTTTAACTAATATTTTTTCGTAAGCATTTCTTAAATCTTTCACAAATTTGCACTCAATTTGTTTATAAAAATATAACACAATAAGCTGGAAGTAATAAATGAGGCTCGAAATCCCCTTTGTCCACGTCAATGTCTGAAAAATGCATTTCATTCATTTCAAAAGCATTGCATCCCTGTACACGCAAACAGCAAAAAAGATATCGATGTTAAGTACACGATAACCCGAATCCAAGGGATGGATTTCATTTGAAGAATCTTTATAATGGAATCGGGTTTCAATTTCATGAGTTAATACAGAAACTTTAAAAATGATTCTTCCATCTTTTTCGCAATAGAAATTTTAAATGATTATTTTATTTTTCTTTTAGCGATTTTCTAAACGTTGCTTTAATATTATAAATTAGTTATCGTCTATTTAATTTGAGTTATGAAAAAATTAAAAAAGTTAAGAATCAAAGCCCATTTGTAGATCACAATCATAAGTTGCCATTGTTAAAGTCTTAACGCACGTTTTTAAAACAGTCACACGAAATTTCAACATTAATTAGCTATTTCACGTAATATATATTTGTTAAACAGTTAAATTTACAATTACACTTTCTGTTCGGCTATTTTGGTGTTCAAAAAGTTTACAATTTATCATTTAAGTTTAGTTCGTTTTTACATTCATTGCTTGCTTGCTTCCGTTTCTTTTTTTTTCGTCGACTAAGCTATTATTGTTTTAAAATATATGTTTAAATGGTTTTATTTTTTAAGACAGCAGCATTGCCAGCTGGGAGGCACGGTTCGGTTATCCATTTTTGAGCGTTGCAAGGCGAAGATTGCATGTTGCATATTGCATATTGCAGATTGCTAGTAACGGTTATGTTGCTGTTGCTTCTCACTTAAATTAATAATTATGCAGTTTTCATTTTTAAATCTTTAGATTAGCTGATAGCTGTTGATTTTCCTTGGATTTCATTTCATTAATATTTTTGTTTTTGATTTGCTGGCACGCAGACGGGGGGTACACACACACAACATGTACGAAATGCATGCTAGAAGAAGACGGCGGCAATTTACACGGGCACGTGGGGTTAAGGGGGTAGCAATGGGTTAACCATTGACCTGCTACCCGGCCATTAACCTACTGCGCCGGCTGGCTGTCGGGCAGATCCAGTATCCTGGCCACGAACTCGGAGATGTCCGTGTTGCGCTGCAGGTGCTCCACGATAAAGCTGTGCCTGAGCAGCTGCTCGTAGTTGGGCCGCGCCATGTACTCCTTTTGCAGGCTAACGGCAATGAAGTCCTCGAACTCCGGCGAGAAGGTTCCAGCTGCCAGACGCGGTGGATCGTCCTCAACCACCTGGAAGATGATAGAACCGGAAAATGATTATTTAATTTTAGGAAAGCTTACTATATAACATATGTTGTATCCTTAAAATACGAACAACCGTCGGTCTGTGTTGTTCATATTTAGAAATATCTTAGTTCCGCATGCCCCATCAAGCTATTAATTTGAATCAATCATTTTAAACGAAGCTAACATTTAAATTGAATTATATTTATAAAATATTTTCTGTTTCTGTCGCACTTGTTTGTTAATAAATATTCATAAAACATGCACCTGCTGTTTTTGTTTATTGCTTTAAATTACACAATGTAATACAAAAATTGTAATTGTAAAAATGTTCAAGTGATATATTTTGTTTTCCCATTTAGCATTGTAAAAATAGTACGAATTTGTTGTCCATTTATTTGGTCTGTAATTTATTTGAAAACAATTACTATACTTTTAATTAACTTGCTAATTACCGGCTTAGCGTACTAAATTATGTAATGCTAATTAGCTCCTATCGTAAATTAGGAAAAGATAAGGCAAACCTTGATTTTGTTACTTTTGCGGCTTCAGAAGTTTAAATTTTAAAGGTTTAAAAACAAGCTACGTTATTAATTTGGTTTATTGGACTAACTTTACGTGTATTTTAATGAATCAACTTTACGTATTATGAAGCTGATTTAACACTTTTCTGCTAAAGTTGGCCAATGTCAAGAAAATATAATACATATATGGTTCTTTTAAAACCATCCTCAAAATGATAATGAAGTTTGATGAGAAAAACAACTATCCTGTTCTTATTTGGTAATGAAGGAATATGCCATATTATTACGAAACAATGTCAATCCCAGTTATATTTAAATAATTGTTAATATAACAATAGTTTCCTTTCGAAGTTACGTGTTTTTAATGAAGAAATTAACTATTTTTCGGATGATACCAATTGGGTCATATAAGAGTTAACATCCCAATTGGAACGGATACGAGTTTTCATGGAAAAATTCCCATTAATACTTTAACATTTTTCTAATAAATAAATCACATATATTATATACCAGGAATTCCCCAGAAATTTCCTCGGTTTCAAATATAGAAAAGCAAATCGCCAAACTTTAAAGAAATGTCTGATAACATAGGCCTTTTTTTTGGCTTTGTGAAGTCAGATGAGGAGAGGGATTTTCAAGAATATCTGGGTTTTTCACCCGCAAAATGATTCATTCTAGAGTTTAGAAACGATTTGCCAGAAATAAGCCAAATTTAGTGTGAAGCATGTTAGGGGCAATCAATGACCCAATTTCGGGCACTCACCTGCCGCAGCTGCTCGAAGGGCGTCCGCCAGTTGTCGTACGGATACCGGCCGGTGGCCATTTCGATCATGCTGATGCCCAGCGACCATACATCCGACCGGATGTCGTACTGCGCCGGATTGCCCTGGGGATCGATGCGTTCGGGGGCCATATACGGCTTACAGCCGGCATCGATGGTCTTGGCAATGGAGTCCACGAGGTAGCCTGAAAGTCAGCACAAGATTAGAACGAACATCGGGTTGCTCTGGATGTAACCGGTGCCCCACCTGAGATGCCAAAGTCACAGATCTTGACCTGGCCGGCCCGATTGATCAGTATGTTCGAGGGCTTGACGTCCCGATGGATGACTTTCAGCTGGGCGTGCAGGTAGTGCAGCGCACTGACCACGCTCATGGCAATCTGTGAAGGGTATACAGTAGGTACAGTATATAGGGGCGATTCCCAGATAAGATTAGCCCCCATCCTCCCCGGCTGACCTTGCCCAGCACGCTCTCCTCCATGCGCAGATCGTGGCGGAAGACCTTCGGATAGAACTTGTCCAGGCTGGTGCTCATCACCTCCATGCAGATCCACACATCGCCCTCGCGGTACATGGCCCCATAGAAGTGGACCGTATAAGGGCAATCGCTGGACCTCATTGATATGTCCAGATCCATCACAAGGCGATGCTGCTCGCGAATATTGACGGTCATGGGTATGCGTTTGACGGCCAGAACTGTGTCCGTTTGCCGGTGGCGCATCTTCTCCACGATGCCATAGGCACCGCGGCCCAGATCGCAGATCTTCTCCAGACTGTCCGCATCGATGTCGAAGGTCTGGTCGCCAATCTGGATGGTGGCCCGCGAGTCCAGGTTGCGTGGTGGGACTCTAAAAGATTAGAAGATATATAGGTTTACCATGTGATGTTTGCCCATGCACATAGGTTTCCCAGGTATTTCTGGCGGAGATTTCACCGGTGGTGACGGGATGGATGACTTACATGGCCGGTTCCGGTTCTTTGCTTATGGAAATGGGCGCTAGTCGCGGACGCCGGGACATTTTGGCAATCCTTTTATTTAACCTCCTCTCTGTTATCCTCGACTTTCTCCGGCGTTTTCTGGCGCACTCTGTGGACCCAGTGGATTGGATTCTGCAAGGTAGTGCAAGACCTGGCGGTTGCTATTTTTACCGCATTCGGTCAGGAGCGGAGTCGTGGGATCGTGTGGCCCGGTTTTTGCCGCCCAACCTTTTGCTTTTGCCCTTGCTTTCCGCACTTTTTGCACTGTTTGCCGATCGCCTTTTTCGTTTTTCTCGCTTTTCCACTAGTGTTGGCCCACCATCGATGGCACTATCGATAGTGGAGGGTCTCGCTAAATAGCATTTTTGTATATCGATATACATGACAAGTGTGAATTGTATTAAATATCAATAGCAATGAAAATACACTCTTCACAGCACGACCGCTGTTCACACTGGCCGGAGTTTAATTACTTGTAATTATTTCACTTTTATATTTATATTTCTGGCCATTGAATTAATGTTATTATATTGTGACTTAAAAAGGTTTAAGCCTAGTACTCAGATCGACGAAAACTGTTCGTCAGTCATGAGAGAGAGCGAGAGGTAAACAGCTGGCGTTCACTTTTCGTTAGGCTTTTTTTCACCTTGGTACTCAGATCGAGGAAAAAAAACCGAGAAAATTACTTCGCGCGCCAACCGCCTGAAATAAACTTTTGGTGAATCCTAGCAAAAAGATTAAAAATGTAAGCTTTTGGCGTGCACTTCTCACTGAACATTTTAAAAAATGGAGGGAAAAAATAAAAAAACCCGCAAAAGTCGATTGCAGGAGTTTACATGTGAGGTCAAAATAAAATTAATACTATCTGAGGTGCCTCTGGTCAGAGCAAAGTGTTTCTTAGGTCAAAAATGTAAGAAAAAACTAAATAAAAGTGAAGCTATGAACTTTAAATTAGCAAATAATTATCAGTAAATTAAAAAAAAAACTGTTAAATTTAAATTGTATTGTTTTTTAATTTCTTTGTACACCGGCAGACTTGTCTTGCCAAGGTAGTTGATAATATCTTTTAAAGGCTCTTTCCCGCAAATACGATATTTGAATTTTAACTGCTTGTCAACAAACCCAGCTTATTGACATTACAACCGAAGCACGCTTAATTCTGATGAACTCTCGAAAGATTAAATTTTTTCCGCTAGCGAACTCGTTTGTCGATCTGATTACTAGGCCTTAAAATAAAAAATTATACAAAACTTTACTTACTTTTGACCATCTCTAGTTGTGTTGTATTCTCGGTATTTTCGCCACATTTTTCGGCATCTTTTAGTGAATTAACCAGAGCTGTTCAGTATATTACCGTGGTAGCGCTGCGGTCACACTGTTTTGGATTGTACACGCGATTTAGGCAGCAAAATCGAACAAAACCGAGTGTTAGAATTGTGCTAGTAATACCGCCGCCCGCGGCCGCAAAAAAAAAACGATCGCCGAAACCCCAACCCCAAAAAAAGAGCCCCGTTAAAAGAGAAATAACCCACGAAATATCCTCCCAAAAAAGGAGGAAAAAATCGCAAGTTGTTGTTGCCATTGCTGCTGAAAAAGAAAGAGAGAGAGTGAAAGGGAGGGAGTGTGTGAGTGAGGCTATCTCTCTCAAACGCACAGTGACTGTGTTTTCCTTTTTTCGATTTTGTTTTTGTGGCCGCCAACAACAAAAGTCCAGCAATCCGTTATTTTTGTGCAAGTGTGAAAGTTCAACGGAGCGCGCCTGTGTGTGTGTGTGCCGCCAAACAACAACAAAAACCGTGCACAACAAAACAAAATTCACACACGCGCATGTGTGTGTGTGTGCGCGAGAAAAATCGAAGAAGTGCTGGCCGAAAAAAATTGAGAAAAAATAAACCAACCCAAAAATACAACAACTAAAATCCCAACAAACATCCAATAGTCCAGTAATCCAGGGGTTAAAGCAAAGATAATATGTCCACCATTCAGTTCGAGACGATCGGCAATCGCCTGCAATCCTTGGAGGAGAAACTTCAGGAGCAAAATAAGTCCCACGACCAGATCGTCCTTTCCGGATCGCGTGGCTCAGGCGTTTCCGGCTCCGTCGCGGGATCCCGTATTCCTCCCCTGGCAACATCCGCATCCGCAGCCACATCCGCCGCCCATGTACCGCCCCTGGGCTCCGGAATCAGCATAGCCCAGCGACCAGCACCTCCAGTTCCTCAGGCGCCAATTGCCACCGCCTTTTCCTTGTCCACATCCGCCTCTGCATCCGCATCTGCCTCATCCGCATCCGCATCCGCAGCCTCGACGACGGGCGCCTTCGGCGGAGTATACACCCCGCCCACAACCAGAGTGCCGCGGGCCACGCCCACTCTGCCCATACGTAAGTTCTTGGTTTAATCTTAAATAACAATAGAATATACTTTTGAGGGTTGTCCAAAATTCTGCCTACCTAATTAATAATCAAAATTCCTAATATTTATACATACCAAAGTCGCGGGGAATAGTTACATCCAAAATCCTATCTAAATTAGCGATAGACACAATCCTTTGTATTTACAAATTCCAAATTTGAAAAGGAATACTTAATAAGTCCTTCTTGCTAATCATTTTTTAGGTAACTATATAAATCCTTATGTGATACCTAACAGGATGTAATGTGCTTATCCCAGGCTGATTGAATCATGTACTTCCTAATATCAATTAAAAAAAATCGTTTTGGGAATATTAGTAATCCATGTAATGTTGTTTCGCCTCATTTCTATAATAACGGTAGTAACAGTAAATTCTAAAATATTTTCTTATCAAACTTTTTGGCGGAATACTTATTCAGGTGCTCTCGTTTCAAATCCTTTCCGAAATAAATACGATATCAAAATCCATTTAATTAACTCTTTTGTTTGAATCCTTGATTGCAATCCTGTTTATAATACATCTAAGAGTAATAGGTGTCCCATATTTTCACATTTATAATTTTTGGTTTCCCAATCTGTTGATTATAAAAGTTTCTTATATATTAAATTAAATTATTTTGAAACAAAATCAATTATTAATGATGTATAAACTTAATCGAAGATATTATCAAATAACTATAGAAATACATATAGATCCAATAAAAAAAATCTATGGTCTGAAATCTTTATAGTTCTTAGAGATTCGTGAAATGCTTTCTTATCATTTTCTGAAGAATTCCAAACCCAAATTAAACCGTTTTGATAATGGTTCAGCCTGACTTGGGAGTTCCTAGAAAGATCAAAAAATTAATGCTCGAACTTTAGACAGGTGAAGTCTTTGACACATGCAGATTAAGTGCTAATATCTTGACCGCAACTGTAGGCAACTGGTTAGTAGTAATAAAAGAGGGCTGAGAAAAATCGTGATCCCCAAAAATGGTCACCAAAAGTCTATATATACTGAATCGCCAACCGCAAGCCACAAAACCATCTTTTGTCCGCTTTTGTGTAAATATTTTGTTAATAAATTGTCATTGCCCCATAAGCTACCTGTGTGTGTGTGTGTGTGTTGACTGTGCGTGTGTTTAAATTGTGATAAGAAAAGTGCTCGTTTCTTGGTTGAATTTTGCTATTGCGTTTGGTTTTGAGTAGTTGAATTCCGCTAACAAAGGGCAACCGCTATCGATTCCCGACTGCATAACAGCTGCTCATAATCCCCCATTCCAGCACCCCATCAACCCTGTAAATATTCCACCAGTCCCTTCCCTGCGTTTTCCACTTTTTCCCCGGTCTGTTTTTCCGATTGCATAGATAAGACAGGCGGGGCGGCCAAGTGCGAAGCCAACTTGTTTTCGGTCTTTTGCCAGGCCAAAAAAAATCTACAGTGGAATTAACAACTGTGCACTGCGACAATTAAATTTCGAGTCGATTAGATTAACAATTCCTGGTATATAGACGGTTTTCCATGAACGCCAGAAAATGGTTAATGGGTTTTTGAATAATCGAACTAATTTCTAGTCGATTAGATTAATGGATATAGTTTCCATGAACTCCTCAATTTGGCATATAAACATTTGATTAATTGTTTGATTCTTTTGTAGAAAGAATTGTTTGACAATTGTTTTTAAAAAAAAAAACCGTCACTCGGTCCCATTCTCATTAAGTAAATACTACTCGAAATAATATTTTTAAAAATTTCAAATTTTATTTAACTCTGTTTTTAAAAGACTCATTAAAAATCCACGGGTAATTATTTTATTCGTTTGTCAAAAATAAAAACCTCTTTTATTTTGACCTCAAGTATGTGTAGGTGGCACTTGTCGGTGTGTGCAGCCAACCCACCCACACTCCTCTCTCCTTTTCTCTCCTGTTCTCCTTTATGACATATATTTATGTCTCGTTTGCATATTTTTTCTTATTGGATTTTCATCGGCCATCAAGTGTTTTTTTTTATTTATTTCCTTATTTGTTTATTTATTTATTTATTTACTTTGCGCGTGTGCGACTCTCTCTTCGCGCTCTCGTTGGCCACTTTTTTGGCATTTCCGGAGTAATGTCTTGATATGCCCGTTGTTTTTGTTGCTATTTCGTTTTTGGGTCTCACATTTCCTCTCCTCCGTCCCCGCCGCACATTCATCGGCCGTTTTGCCGTGTCTCCTCTTTCGCATGTTTACAAATAGCGTTATTTTTAATGACTTGCTTTTGTTGTAGTTGTAATTGTTGAATTGAATTGCTGCCAGGAAAAAATAACTTCGCAAACAAAAACAAAATCGCTCTCATTCTCTCTTCCACTTCACGCACCCACACACCCACACATACACGCACAAACTCACAATGGCACAGTGGGCAATAATCGGTATATGATTATATTCCCAAGGTACTTACGGTTTTTCGGAAATGAACTATTTCGAAAACCCGCGTCATTTATGCTCAACTATTTGTATAACCTTGCAGAGGGTATTATAATTTTTATCAAAAGTTCGCAACGGGCCACTTTATACTATAACTCTCATAGCAACAATCGGAATCACAAATTTAAGAAAATGATAACTTAAGATAATGAGTTATAGCTTTTTGAAAAAAATTTCAGAATTATGTTTTTAATTTAATAGTAAATATCAAATAGGTGCCATGGGAACGATCGAAAAATGTATCAGAAAATCAACGAATTATTGTTTTTGAAAATGTACTTATAGAAATCGAAAAATGTCGATTTATAAAATATATACTTAAATATAAAGTATACTTCGGCTTGTCAAGGTTTTCGGACACTTTAATGAACTTTTATGTAGGTTGTTTTCAAAGCTCTATTGCTAATAAAACTATTTTGTCATTTCATTTAGAAATTTTAAATCAAAATTAATAATGTAATTGACAACTTGACCTGCACATTTTAATAGGGCAAGAAGCTTTTTCAAATATGTAAATTCAGTATATTGCAGTATCTATCTATGTGTAAATATCCTACCCATCACGATACTTACCGTTTATCTTATTGTTCATTTTTCTCACGCAGCCCCAAGCGGCAGCGGCATTAACCGGACGCGACCTGTGATACTGCCGCTGCCCACGCCGCCACATCCTCCGGTTTCGGAGACGGACAAGAAGTTAAAGATCATCATGGAGCAGACGGGCAAGCTGAACATCAATGGGCGGCAGTATCCGACGGACATCAATGACCTCAAGCACCTGGGCGATCTGGGCAACGGGACCAGCGGGAATGTGGTGCAGATGTTGCACCTGTCCAGCAACATGATCATCGCCGTGAAGCAGATGCGGCGCACTGGCAATGCGGAGGAAAACAAGCGCATCCTGATGGATCTGGACGTGGTGCTCAAGTCGCACGACTGCAAGTACATCGTCAAGTGCCTGGGCTGTTTCGTTCGCGATCCGGATGTGTGGATCTGCATGGAACTGATGTCCATGTGCTTTGACAAGCTGCTTAAGCTCTCCAAGAAGCCAGTGCCCGAACGAATCCTTGGCAAGGTCACAGTAGCGGTATGTTCAATAACTTGTTATTTTAGACGCCCAAATGATATCTTTTCCATTTCCATTTTGCAGACGGTCAACGCCTTGTCCTATCTGAAGGACAAGCACGGGGTCATCCATCGCGATGTGAAGCCCTCGAACATTCTGATCGACGAACGTGGCAACATCAAGCTCTGTGATTTCGGGATCAGCGGTCGCCTGGTGGACTCCAAGGCGAACACACGATCCGCCGGCTGTGCAGCATATATGGCGGTGGGTTCAACTTCAAGATCTTAAACTTCAAAACTCTAATTTAAAGAAATTATGTGTGCCTTAAATGATGTTATGCTTTTAAAACATATTTATTTAAAGATCTAGAGACCTCTTAATAGCATAGTTGTTAGAATATTAGATGGATTAAAGTAGGGTCTCATGAAAATAATATATATTTGTAGTTCATCGTTTTGTTGCTAACAACGCCATAATATTTGTTTTATACTTTATTTACTTTCAAGCTCACAGCTTGTTAAAATTCTGGGAAAAAGTATAGGTCTGTGTAGATTATTCGATTGATGTCATGACTTATGTTATTTAAAATATAATAAACTTGATTGGGGAAGTATATGTACGTGGGGAAATTTCACGTTAGCGATAAAAGTAGTCAATTATTATAATCGTGCTATTTTATTAGGCATAAAGTTCGAAAAGCGTGCTAAATATTTGAGATAATTGAATCGTGAGCTGAGCTTTAAATCAATAAGTACATGGTATTCAGAAAATACCTTATTAAAGTTCTTCGTTAAAGTCTACTCCTAGTCACGGTCTGGTTTACTTTACCATTTTGCATTTAAGCTTAAAATACAATACATTTTATACTGTAATAATATCCTTATTCCCTGAAATGTTTTAAAATATCCATATTAAAAAAATCACTAAAATAATAATCCAAAAAACTATTGTAATTTACAGCCGGAGCGGATCGACCCCAAGAAACCAAAGTACGACATTCGTGCCGATGTGTGGTCGCTGGGCATAACGCTGGTGGAGCTGGCCACCGCGCGATCCCCGTACGAAGGATGCAACACGGACTTCGAGGTGCTCACCAAGGTGCTGGACTCGGAGCCGCCGTGTTTGCCCTATGGCGAGGGTTTCAACTTTAGTCAGGAGTTCCGCGATTTCGTTATCAAGTGGTGGGTGATATATACTGATAATTTGCACTTTTACAAAACCGAGTTAATTGGTGTTAATCCGCTTGCAGCCTCACAAAGAACCATCAGGACCGACCCAAGTATCCGGAGCTTCTGGCCCAACCCTTCATCCGGACCTATGAAATAGCCAAAGTAGATGTACCCAATTGGTTTCAGGGCATCAAGGAGAGCCGTCTGCGTGCCAACGGCGATCCCACGCTCCAGAGGTGAGCCCATCCAGTTATCTGTGTCAGATCCTCCAGCATTATTCCCACGACTTGTCCGCTATTCCCGGCTGATGATGTTGTGCCTGTTCTGGATGAGTGTGAATAGTGGGTGTGTCTGATAAGAGTGCGAGGTGCGCTTTGTGTTCTCCCCACTTTTCCGTTTCCATTTTCCGTTCTCTGTTCTCTGCTTAACGCTCTTCTCGAATCCAACAGGTAGGAGAGGGAAAAAAGCTGGGAAGTTCCAACTATGTTCAACCGTAGGACGGACTTCCTCAATTCATGTTTTCGCTAGCCAACTAATTTAAAAAAGCTTCTTCCTCTTTTTATTTTTATTTTCCTTTTCCTAATTTATTTAACTCTTGTTTTTGTCCATTTTTATTTTTTTGTGGTAAGGCTAAATAACTTTATAAATTGACACTTAGCTCCTTTCCTTCTATCCTTTCCCTTTTTGGCATGATTATAATTTGTGTATACACATAGAGAAAGGAAATCGCAATATTAAAACAACTAAAGTTGATGGCAATTAGCTAGCAATTAGATTATAATTTGTTGTATTAGATTGAATGCTCTTTCCAAAGCGGTTAATGGATATATCTTATGGCATCTCATCAAAAATGCTTTTCAGAATGATTAGAACTAAATATACATGTTAACTAATTAATCTAAATTGAATTTTAATTTCGAAAAGACTGCTAAGTTGATAAGACTTGTTTCAATTAAAATGTCAAGATAATATATGAAATTATTGGGCAATCAATTGAGTTTTAAAGTGGTATGCAAATCTCAAACAAAATTCAAGTTAGTATATAGTGTGTGTAACTGGAAATTTACTAAATATTTAACTGCTTTGTAGCAAGGAATCCTTGCATCTCATTCTCTAATTTTTCAATTATCGTGATGGTATTTCTTTGGAAAGTGCATGTTCCCCATGACCCATTTGTAGTCAGCTATTCACGCAACTATCTGTCTATCTTCTAGCAGTCCTCTACCCACTTAGATCCCTTACCAAGTAAAATTAGGAGAAACCAAAAATGTATTATGAAACTATTATAAACGATTCTATATTTTTTCTCCTTTTTTTGCGTTTTATTGACATTTTTAATTTGAGTGTGTGTGTGCGATGTTTTTATTTTCCTTTTTCATCTTTTTTATTACCATTTTTTGTAGGTTACCTAATTCCTAATACCATTACTTAAACAATAATGACAAAACAATGAAAGAAAACCAATAAACATAATCTAACAAAAAATAAAAGCAAACGAAAAAGAAGAAGACAAACTATAAACAAAAACCAAACATTAAAACCTATCGACATAAACTTAAAACAAACAAAAGCATTCAAGTAAAACTTGCAACCATCAACTCTATATACAGATATATAAACCAAAATATATATTTACCTATATATAATGATAATGCCAACCAACCATAACTACTCAAAAATACTATAAAAATTCCTCCCAATTAAAAGTAAAATTCAGTAAGTACGAAGAGTTTTTTATTCTTATTATTAGCCTTCTAATTATGTTTTTATAAGTTAAGTGTAATTGTTAATCGTTGTAAACACGCCACATGCTCTGCTAACTTTTTTATAATGTTATTGCAATTGGCTTCTGTTGATATTTTGGTTTCAGTTTATTTTTGCATGTTCTCTTGCTTAACTCTGAGCTTGGCTTTGGCATTGGTTTTTGTATTTATTTAATTTATGCTTTGTTTATTTATCCATTTAGAAATGCTCATACACCAGAAAAGGTAATTTGACATTGATTTATTATGCTTAATTGTATTGCTCATCGATTTTTAAGTTCACTTCATTGATTTACGTGTCGCTGAGAAATTTCGCTACATTTTCATTATCAATTTTCATTTGTACGCATTTATATGTTTGTTCCTTGATTTTCGGAGCTAAGCAGCTATGTAGTATTTATTATTTAAAATTAAGGGTTTTTAAAACGATATATTTTGCATTTTATTAGCTTTTGATTTTGAAAAACATTTTTCGAACTTACTCGATTTAAATTAAATTATATATTCAGTTAGTCAGTTATTTTTTTGACCTTATTGGCTGTTTCATATTTATATACAAAAAGTTATAGGTATTCATTTTTCATAAAAGGAAAATTTTTTTCTTTTAATCATTTATTTGAATTGAAAATTGGTAGGTTTTTTCCCCATAATTTAAATTAGTTTGATTTTGGGAAAATGTGATTTTGGGAAGCCGTCATGAGCAAGGATCTTTTTATCCTGTGCAGCCATCTTTCGCTTTTGCTCTTTCTGTGACCTTTAACTTTGTTTTCATCCTGTCGCTTACACACAGGGACACATAACACACACTTAAAACACACTCATCGAATTGTATATACACAATCACACACACACACACAATACACATCACACATTCAAAATGCGATCACAACTCATCTAAATGTGTTAGATATGCCATTCTGCCGTCAATCTATGTACATACATGTACCCCATAAATCCTCCACTTCCCGGAAACTCCTGTCACTCTCCCAATACACCATGTATCCCATATATACCCACCCCTCTAAACATCCCGATAAATCCCCTCCCCACAAACACAAATCTTCTTTCTGCCACTGGCGTACATTTGAGTGTGCTCGCATTATTGGTCATCCAGACACCAAGAATCCACTGAACTTAATCGATTAAAAAAAAACACATTAATTTGCAGGGCAACGGCGACTGGAAGTGGAGCCGGTTCTGGTTCCGTATCTCTCGCAGGATCAGGATCAGCAGGTGGAGCTATAAAATATGGTAGGGCGATGCCGTATACGGCGCAGAGTCCCACGAATCCGCAGAAGACAATAAAACCCACTCAGATACCGAGTTACCAGCAGCAGCAGCAACAGTCGCAGTATTTCATGCAATCAGCCACACAACTACCTCAAACAACAACAACAACCACAACACCAACGGCAACGACGAACTGTTTCGGCGGGAGTGGGAGCGGCAGGGGAAACGGTAGCGGAAACGGAAGTGGAAGTGGAAACGGGAGCGGTAGCAGCAGCAGTGCCAGTCCGTTGTCGCCACCAAGCGGAGTCGGCGATCTTAACCGGCTTTATCGCAAATCGCCATTCATGCAGCGAAAACAGAGCAACGGATCCCATCATCTCCACTACAAATACAACGATGAGAGCCCCAAGAAGGAGTCCATGTTCAGTAGCATCGGTGGGTTTGCATCTATGTGTTGATATATAGGCCGCTGATAAGGCACAACAACTTTTTAAACTATAAATAGCTTTTTTTTGTGTATTTCGGCTTAAGGGTTTTGTATACTATAAATTATATTGATAATGTTTCATTCATTTTTAAGTTATATTGTTATGTTTTGATTTTTCTTTCTTATGCAATATTTATAATAAAATATATTGTTAAAGAATATAATAGATTAGAAACTTAGAGCAACTATTAAAGTTCCAAATGAATTTCGGGAATTTAAAAATCCAATAGAAAGCTACAACTAATGACAAATCGATCTTTTAATTGCAGGACAATCGATTCTACGCAATCTGACGACATCGCCCTTCAGCCAAAAGAAACACAATTCAACAGCAGCGACTGCAACAACAATACCACTGCCGCACAACAACCAAACATTATTCACGGATGCAGCAACAGCAAATGCAATAACATCGCCAAATATTGCAGCTGCAGCGCCCACGACAACGCCAGTGACCACGCCCACATGGCGCCTGCCAGCGGACAATTCCCAAGCCTACGACAGCTGTGATAGTAGTAGTAATGCCACCACGACCTTGAACTTGGCCCTCTCCTCACCCTCCCCCTCGCTGCCGCGCAAGCAATTCCCCACAGAATCGCCGACCTTGCAACTCGCCAGTCAACAACAACAGCAACAGCAGCAACCACAGCGATTGCAGCCGGGCAATCAGAGCCCCATAGGTAAACCCTTCAAAACGCCATACTCTTTTTAAAGTATTTCCAAATTAAACAAGAAGAATTCATTTTTAATATCAGTCATATTTAAAAATAGAGTTTAGAGACTATTTAGTTTAATATTTATAATGTTTTTAAAACTGCCAAAAATTATTTAAAATGTTATTGACCTTTCATAAAAAATAAATCCAAAAACCTTATATAATTTTTTTAGATAAATGTAAATCCAAAAAACACATGTATCTATGTAAGAATAGCTAAACAAATAATATAGTTTTAGAAAGCCCCTAGATGAGGGAAGTATTTTATTTGATAATATCAATAAATAAGTGGTTAATTGTATTCTCTTATCTTGGCACTATTACAATCGATTAAATACCTTGTAACAAATAAATTTGCTTCTCTTTGCAGTGCTGCAGCGCTTCTATCACCAGCAGAATCAGCTGCGCGAGAAGGAGGCGGCAGAGCGGTACCAGCAGCAGCGCCAGCAGACGCCCGTTGGAGTGACCAGCACGAATCCGTTTCACAGCAACTATGTGCCGCCGCCGCCATCGACGCATTCCACCTCTAGTCAGTCCTCCACGCAGTCGACGTGCTCGCAGATCGCCGTCAATCCCGCCAGCCTATCCCCATCGACTGGCTCTGGAATAGGAACAATAGGGGGATTGGGAATCGGATCAGGAACAGGAGCGGGGGCGGAGACAGGGACAGGAACGGGATCAGGAGCAGCTGGTCACTTTGGAGCGGGCGGCAGTGGTGAGCAGTTGCAGTACCAGCCGTTGCCCATCGCCGCCGAAGCAACGGTCACGAGTCCCACGCTCCTTCCCAGATCTCCGGAGCAACAGTCGGATTGCGGAGGGACCAGCTCCATGGTGGCCAGCAAGCTGAGCAAGCTCTACGTCCGCCGCCAGCTTTTGGGCCAGAGCTCGAGCAGCGGGGCGAGCAGCAGCAGCCTGGATGGCTGCAGCCGGGAACAGCAAGATGCCGGTGAGCCAAAAAGTGTTATTGTTATCGCATAACATTCAAAATGTTGCTAGAAAAAAGAAAGATTAATTATGAATTCATGTTTTAAATGACAGAAGGTTATCGAAAAAAAACCAAAGGTCTAAATATTGTTTTTGTCTTCAAAAAAATAACCTTATATATACACATAAATGGTTTTCTCATTCAACACATTGGAGAATAATAACTTTACGGCTATTGAACTATTTTGTTTGCTTTTTAAAAACATTTAAATACTATTTGTATAAGGTTGTAGCTCTAAAAAATATATATACGAAAGAGTGATTTTATTTCAGAGTCCAGCTTTTTGATTTCGCTTTGAACACTACTTAGTTGCGCTTGTATTTATACATTTTACATTTTCGTTTCGTTTCTTTCTCTCTTCGTTTACCGCACACCAAAAAACCGCACTCTGCACCACTGCACTGCATCACCATGAAACCACGAACCACCCATCATCACTCAAATCATCCAACGAAAACCGAACCAAATAACCAACCGACCAGGCTGGTTCAACACTCTCGCCGGCGCCATGAAGCGACAGTTTGCCACCTATGTTAAAACCCAATTGAATTCCACAGCCACGTCGCCAGTGGCGGCCAGCATGGATCGGGATCGGGATCGCGACCGGGATCAGGAGTTAGTGCAGCATCCGCAGCCGCCGGCATACAGGAGCATCGTTAATAACGGCAGCGGTGGCAAGTCCTACTACTATCGCACCTTGTCGGCGGCCAGCAGCAGCAGTAATACCAGCCAAAGCACCTCGCCCACGACGGAACCGCTGCCGGGAGGCGGCACCAGCAGTTTCCTGCGCCGTTACGGCAACAGCGGACCAGGCGGAATGGGCAGCGGTGGCGGCGGCAGCATCAGTACGCCGCCCAGTCCGCACATCTTGGCCGGTCTGGATCGCAGGCACCGAAGTCCAGATCCGCCGCCACGCTACAATCGCGGACAGTCGCCGCTTTTGCTGCGCAAGAATCTGCTGGAGCTGAGTGGCCAGCCGCCGGGCTCACCGCTTCTGCACCGCAGGTGGGTTTACTCTACATGTAGCCAAGCCGTCTTGCTCTAAATCATGATAACTCTGGGCTCTCCCTCTCACTTTCAGATACGTTTCGGCCTCGCCGCCGCTGCCACCGCCACGCCGAGGATCTGAAAGCGTGCCAGGATCACCGCAGCACTTCCGCACCCGCATCCATTATACGCCCGAGCCCCAGAGACGCATATACCGCACGATAGATCAATGAGTAGCGCTGCAAATCATGGTCATGTGATGCTGGTACGGCTTCGACGACGATGCCGCCGGCGCTGCTGTACACGACGATGATCAGATGGAGGAGCTAATGGAGCCCGTCTCCATGCCCGTGTCCGTATCCGTCTCGTCAGCAGCCGGCGACCCGCTGTCGATGCCGGCGTATGCAGATAACCTGGGCACCAGGTCGTCCGGGATTAATCGGCGGCGATTTGCCGGACGACGGACGTGTTCGGCCAGCGGATCGTATGCCAGCTTGTATTCGGATAGGGATGAATGGCCAGGAGGATCATCTGGAGCGGCGGGACCATCGAAGGCCAGAGCTGGATATCCGTGGACATGTGATTGATGACAAACGAAAGTGTTCAAAAGTCTTATACGTTTAAGTGCTTGAGCCCCAGCGGCGATTCATTTGCATCCGCATCTGCTAGACACTTAGTTTCGTTGCGCAGCTCCAACTGTACATAGACATATATCTGTAGGGATCTATATAGACACATCCGATAATAGTGCAATAGTTGAAAGCAATTCTGTTCGCCCAACCACTGTAAGCAAATCTCTTCTCTCTTATATATATCTATATCTGTGTCTGTATCTCCTTTAATGGTAACTCTGTAATCAAAACGTTTACACTTTACACAACGTAAATTATTTAACCGTAGCTCTAAAAACAACAAAAATAGGTAAATCGAAATGGATATGGAAAAATCCAGCAAAACAGAATGAGAAATTCAAATGATTTGTAGCTTTGTATATAGAGAGGAGGTGAAGTGCAAAAGTCGTTGCATTTGCTGTTTGCAATTTGTTTTAGTTTATACATTTCATTAAACATCAACTTGTATGCTGAGTGGAAGGGAAACCAACAACAAACAACATTAACAATGGAATTATTGTACTGATTATTATAATTGTTTAATTTATTATGTAAGCGGCAACAAGCTACACTTTAAATTCAATTTTCGTTTTTGTTTTCATTTAAAAAGGGGGGAAAGGAATGGTTCTTTTTTTGCCAGGTTTGTTGAAGAACTTCAGATCTTGTCCATACTGATATCAAGAGATGCAAACAGATCTATGTTTGGATACGCTGTTTCTTATTTTAATAAAACACTTATTTTCATTTTTTATGGACAGAGTCACAGCAAAGTGGGTGAAGATTATCATGAAGAACTCGAAAAGAATTATTTTTTAAACAGCTTTAGGATTCGAACCTATTACTTCATTTCTTCAATTGTTTTCCAGGGGTTTCCACGTTTCCATATTCCACGCTTATATTTATAGTTTAAAAACATATAAAAGGAACAATAAATCAATAAACCGAAAAAACCAATGTGTGTTTAATTCAAAATATGTTTTGGTACTGTTTATTTACGTGTAAACACAGAATGGGTAACACAAAATTTGCAATTAATTTAAAACAATTACACCCAATTATCTTCAAGATGGTAACTCAGAATATCCCAATTCAAAGCATTAAACCGCCTTAGAAATAAACAAAATTCTGTTTTTTTTATTTTTTTGATTTTTATTTTTTGTTTTCTTGTTATACTTGGCTGTGGCAAAAATGGATGTATAAGAGGATCATCAGAGTCGACGGAACCACTAATGTATGTGTTGCTGACGCATATCAATATATTTAATGAGCCATAAATTATTCAATGAGGTCCAATTTCCGATCTGGGCCGACTTCATGCGGCAGGAGTGACATTCTGCTGCGATCCTGTTACAATCCGCGTTTCTGAAGGTGAGGATTAAATTGTTGAAGGACTGGTCTAAGTATATTTCCAATAAATAAATGACAGGAGGTTTATAAGGTTAATCATAAATATAAATTATTTTAAAGCCTGAATGTCAAAAAAAAAATAAAATATACATTTAATTGGGTAATGAAACCCCTCTCTGTTTATTCCGCAATTAAAATTCCTATGAAGTATTTTCTATAATGTGTTCTGATTGTGACAACACGCTTACCAAATATTAGATAAGCTTGATCCTACATACTTAACATTTGTTTCCCAGAAAATATTAATTTTTTATAAATATTTGAATAAAAATATTTTTACTTCTCAGAGGCAACACGCTTACCCAATAACAGATAAGCTTGATCCAATATACTTAACATGTGTTTCCCAGAAGAGATTTTTTTTATAAATGTTAGTATAACAATACTAACACAATACAAATACACAATAAATAATCATTTCGGAACATTAAGTATAAATAAAGCACAAGGGAATCTGGATCGTTCAGTTGGTAAAAAATCTGACGATGGGAAACAACTATTTGATTTTATTTACCACTCTTCTTGGTAAGTTTTTGTTGAAAATTAAAATATAACTAATAACTAGTTGTTGTATCCTGTTATCAGTGAACCAAGTTCGGGGACAATGCAAGTTCACTCCCAATCAATTATTAGGCTCTAATGGGGCCTTTACGTACCAGGATGCCAATGGTAATCTTCAATTGCAACTATCATCGGTTGTGCAAGTGGGTGCTACCTTAACAATGTACTGTGGGGGCGAAGAAACCCATACAATCACATGCAAACAAGATAAGAAAATATTCTTATTTGAACCTAAGTTGCCCATTACCTGCGGTACAAAACTTTCTACAGACACGGTCATTCGGTACAATGATAGAAAGGAAGATTATTCCGATTGTAAGAAAACAATGTATTCCATTGGACATAAAATAAAAGGACAATTTCTCAAGTTATATGATGCGTGCTATGATACTGTGAAATTGAGAGCCGTTTTCACACAGGCTACAGTATTCCCTCATGTTGCTCGTGAGTAAAGTCAGTTTGAATGTAATGAAGAAGATAAAAAATACATTTCAATATTTCAGATCTCGCACGTCCTAAAGATATACTGTTTTCGCACGAGCCAGTAATGTCGGCATTTGATGCAAATTCGTTTTCTCAAAATTATATATACACAAGATTTGTAAAACTCTATGGACAATCGCAGAAATTTGTACCACTTATAACTGACGTAAAAAAAGAAGTTAAAACAGAAGTTAAAACTGGTATAAATCGCGGCCACTTGACCGATAGTTCATCATTTCTTTTTGAGGATCAAATAAGCTTGACGTATAAGGTGATAAACATTGTGCCTCAGTTCGCTAGTATAAACGGTGGAAATTGGAAAAAAATTTCGGAATGGTTGAATACGCTGTCATTGAACAGCAGACTGACTGTTCGCACGGGGGCCATGGATACTCTACAACTATTATTTAAACAACCAAATAGACGTAATGTGAACAAACCAGCCTATCTTATTGATGACGGAAAAAACCCAGTACCCAAGTGGATATACAAAATAATAAGCAGCAATGCGCCGGACGGAACTCGGACTCCGATGATTGCGTTCCTTAGCTACAACAATGATAAGATGGATCCGGAGCCCTCAAAGACATTGTGCACTGAAATAGAATGTCCTCTGGTATTCGATATGTCGGTCGAGAGCGGCAAGATTAAGTGCTGCAACGCCGTTACGTTCATTAGAGAGTTGAAACAAATATATATAGATGATAAATAACAAGTTTCCGATCAATTTGGAGGTAGTCTGTTGCTGGAGTGACTTTCGGCTGCGATCCTGCCACATTCCGCGATCGTGCAAATTGATATTGGCTCTCTGTTTTTGTTCTTGACCAAATAAATAAGTGTATTGCATTGGCATTCAGAGACTAATCCAATGTTCGTATAAAATATATATATATATTCAAAATAATTATAAATAATTATAACAATTTAATATTTATCGTCCCTTTTTTGCTCTTAAACCATTTCAATTAAATTAAATATTAAATGGTATTATAATTTCAGAAAAAAGTTTGCAACGCAGTGAAAGAGACATTTCCGACCCTATATAGTATATATATTCTTGATCAGCATCACCAGGAGAGTCGATCTAGCTGTCCGTTTCCCTCAGTTTTAAAGCTATCTGCTTGAAACTTTTTCAAAAGTTGTACTTCTATTGCAGCTCCCATAGGAAAATCGAAAAATTGAAAAAAAAAAATGAAAGAAATATTTTATTTCGCTGTTTTTGTATTTATTAAAATATTCCTTTGAGATATAGTATAAATTATTATATTTTATTTGTTCAAATCGGACAACAATATCATATTGCTGCCATAGAAACAATGGCAAAATGCAGCGCAAAATCATTTTTTTTTTTGTAATATAGGCATAGAAATCGAGATGTAGACGTTTTGTAGTAACTGCAAGGGTATATAAACTTCGGCTTGCCGAAGTTTTCTTCCTTTCTTGTTTTTTTTGTGAGTTTTTTATGTGTTGGGTATGTCAAAGGTCGTCAGCTCAAAAGGAGTCCACGGCTTTACACTGAGAGTGTTTATTTGTTTGTTAGGTTCCATGTCTGTTTTTAGTTTTTAACTGCCATCAAAAGTGAGCCACCTGTGGGCCTGATCCGCCCCATTTCGCACCACTCTGCCTTCCGGTGGTGGTTTTGTGGGTTAATTGGGCAGAGGGGCGGTGGGTCGGTGGGCGGGGCAGCTGGGAACAAACATATAGAATCAGCACTTATTGTTTATTTTCGGTATATCGGTTATCTGCGGTAAATACATTTATATTATTTAGATGAGTACATTCAGTTCAAACAGTATATATTTGAGTCGATAGAGCGACGGTAAAAATACAGCTATGCTTTATGCCCATTTAAACCTGTTGCTATTTGTTTGTAGATTAATCAATAACAAACAAAAAAAAATGACAACTTTTGTATAATTAGCTTTGAATTGAATGGCGTTTAGCCATCTCTGTTTTTTTAAAATACTATAAAGAGTTTTCCATTTATTTTTTTTCATATTCTTTTCGTTTCTGTTGCATTCCATGTTTTAAAACCAGTTCCCAAATCTGTAACTATTTTCCAAGACTTTTTGTAGGTTTTACTTATATGTTTTTCTTTAGGTTTTGCTGAATTTTTAACATTTATTGTTATTCGGCTTTTGCACATTTAAAGCGTTTAATTATGTATGTTTTTGGTTATTGGTTTCTTCATTTATCTTTGCCTGTTTGGTTTTTTAAGGTTTTAATATTTTAATTGCTTACATTTATGCTTATGTATATATATGTATGTATGACCTGCCAGATACTTGATAAACTTGGTTGTACAGTTAGACATTGAATTTTAATATATGCGTCTTTGAACATTTAAGTGAAACCCTTTTGGAAATGCTGCCGTTTACATTTAGTTTTCTTGTTGCATCAGATTTTGCTCTGTCTACTTTATTGATCAAAAAGTGGGCTTTATGTGGCAACTGAAGAATTCACGAAGGGCAAAAGCATGTCCCTTAAGGTCAAGATTAAAATAAGATGCTATTTTCTGGGTGGATGGTAGGTAATAGATACAGAATCTAAAGAATCCTACACAAAGAGAAGTTGCATTGGGAAATATATTGAAGAATTGACTCATTTCCCAGGGGATCTAGAAAACGATTTTTACTATGGGTCCTTCTTTTTTTTTTGTTTTTTTCTTTGAGACACTATGGGAATTTTTTTTTTAAAGAATATTCTTGGGCTTTGAAAATGTGGTTTTCCGAATTATTGAGGGTGTTTTTTTTAGTTAAATATATGTGTTCCTTGGGTTTGGTTTTTTTTTGTGGCCCTAAGTTGAATTTCTCTTTAGGTTTTCGGGGGTTCTTGGGTTCCACTATCTTCCACTATTTTCCTAAGGTTGTTTTTTTCATTTGCAGGGACTTATTCCTTGAATGTTTTCCCGCTGTCTTAGGTCAAGTACTTTATTGGTTATACAAACATACACTTAGATATTGCACTTATGTATCGGGTATTCTGGTTTTCTGGACTCTCATTTCACTTGTATAAACAAGTATTTGTAATTTTACAGTTTAGTATAACTACAGTTACCAGTGTTTAATGTACAAGTCAACTTGACTTGAAATGTATATACTTATTAATAATATTTTCTTCCTTGCCCTTTGGTAGTAACAAATTAACAGACAATACAAAAAACGCGTTCAAACAGTTAGATTATGCTTGCAATTCTTATGCACATTTAAGTACATTATATATAGTAGTTTTTTTTTTTGGGTCTTAAATTGATTTTGGTAACGTCTGACCAATTGTTTTTATTGAGGGAACTGGAAAATGGTTTACAGTGGGAAAAGGCCAGGGTGAAAGGAGTTTTGTTCTGCTTACATTGTTCAATAACATTGATTAAAAAAATTTCTTTACCTTTTATATTCATATTAATTTGGTTTAATTTTTTTTTCGGTTTTAAGTCTTTGTTTTACATCAGTAAGCGTTTGTTTTTTGTTTTCTTTTCTGGTTTTTCCCTTTTTTTTTTTGCGAATGTTTTTCCTTGCTGCATTTTTTTTTATTTTTAAATATTTATTTTTTTTTTGGTTTCTTCGATTGTGTGTGGGTATCAAAAATCGAATGCCACAGTGGTTCCTTAATAGACTAGTCTACACATACCTTCCTAGGACAATCATACACGTACACATATATATGTTATATGCTGGTTAATACTTGTAGAAAATGCTTATGCCTTTATGCCTGGCTGCACCACCATTATCTCTCGTAGAGGGAGGGGGCGGGAGGGGGTGGGTTCGGGCCGCCGTCTCCCTCCACTCTCTCTATATCCCCCAAAAATCGGGGGCCTCTCGTCATTCCGGGGTGAATGTAAGAGTTAACAATGTCAGTTTCGATTTGGATGGTTCGGGCGCCTTCAGGAGCGGTGGGTTAAACGAATTCAAAAATATAAAAATCCATGAAAAACTCACACGTTCAGCCGCACACACATTCACACAGTGATGGGAAGTATCCATTCAAAATTCGTCAATTGCCAAGAACCAAACACCTATCTAGTGAATACAAATTTATTTTCCAAAAACTCTTTACCCGGGAAAGCATCTTCATGAAATTCGATAATTATCAAAAACTAAAAACCTATCTAGGTATGAAATATAATTTGTAATGTTGTATCAAATGCCTTACGAATTTATTTAATTTGGTCTCTCTGCAAAATACAACTACTTTCATCAAACGTATGGAATTTTATTGAAAAATATACATTTTTCATTTATAGACCATTAAAATAGGTTTCTTTATTGCCCGTTAAGGTATAAAACAAATTTAACTTGAAGAGTTTGTTAATTGCAATATAATATAAAAGTAATCACTATTAAATTAAATGTTGTAACTTGTACAATGTGTTTAATAAATCACTTAAATAACATAATTATAAAATAAATTTATAAATATATTATATATTATATTTATAAATTTTAATTTCAAAGAGGTATTTGAATATAAATAAAATAATAATTTACACCAATAATTAATTTTTACCAACATAAAAACAAGACCAATGAAAATAAAGAAGCTTAAGGATTCTAGTGACATTGGTTAAATATAATTATATTTTATTTTATAATAAGGTAAGTTCATTCTATAATTTTGGAAATAAAGCGGATGTATGTGTTGGGTGAAATAACAACGCCCCCCAATCACTGTTCCTCCTCACTCGTTCATAAAAAAGTTAAGCCTTTAATGTAGAACTTCGCCATACAAAGTAAATTCTGAATATTTTATTTAAGTTTCCAGGAAAAAAATATACGGCGACGCTATAATTCTCAACGGGTTCAAGCTGTTACCTAGAGTACAACTGGTGCTAACAACTTCGTGGTACAATTGTACACTAAAGATTATTATTTCATAAAACGCGTAGAAAAGATGTCGGATTCCTGTTTTTTTTGTTTTTTTTTTTGTCAATTTTACTTATGGCGAATTTCTGAATTGCAGGCTTACATTTTTTCTCAGTCACACTTGATTTAGTAACGTCGACCGCTGCCGCTGCTGCCGCTGGCGCATCCGCCGTCCCCGCTACTCCCGCTGGCGCCATCGGCCGCCCACCGCTTCCGGCGCGCCTCCTTGGCGGCCTGCATTTGGGCGGCCACGCGACTGGTGCTCGGCGCATTATCGAAGCTGGCATACAGCTCCACTTCCATGTCGGCGGCATCGCGTGCCGAATTCTGTTGCATCTCGAGGGCGGCGGCCAAGGAGGCCATGGCATAGGCACGGGCATCGATCGGTGGCGGGTGGTTCTGGTGATATGAATGGACACTGGCTACTGTCGTTATGGTGGCTACTGTGGCATCCGAATCCGATTCCTGCTGCTGCTGATGCTGCTGCTGCTCCAAATCGAAACTCACATTCTTACTGTCTCATCCACCCCGGTGGACCTGGACGGTGGCCTCGGCGGACTCCTGCTGGCGCAACTGCTGACGGTACGCATCCAACTCGGGCATCCGATAGGTGCCCAGATTCACCTGCACCATGAGCGTCTCCATGATGCGTTCGTTCTTCATCGACTTGGAGGGCAGGACAACGGTGAGCAGTTCGCTGGGCGAGATCCGGCACAGGTTCAGATCCCGCGTCAGCCGCTCCATAATGCACTCGAACTCGAATTGTGTGTCCTTGTTCGGATGATTCTTCAGTTTGCCCACCTTGTGTTGGGCCCACGCCAGCATCGCCTCGAACTTACGAATCTCGGGCGTCTGCAGCTCCCGGCACATGATCATCTGCACCATCGACTCGGACAGATGGAGGAATTCGGGGCATTTGAACAGCGAGTGCGCCTTGCTCTCCACGAACGACAGGATCATGTTGACCAGCTCGGAGGCGGATGTGTAGCGCCAGTAGTAGTTCTCCAGCGAGATGAGCATCGGGCAGACCACCTCGATGCGCAGGAACTGCTTGCAGTGGTGGAAGCACGCCTGCAGCAGCTCCGGCAGGTCGTAGTGCTCCGCGGCACACAGCAAGCCTGTGAAGTGCATACAAAATATGGCTTAATACACAGAGAATACAAATGAAGAATACAAAATTAAAAAAAAACAAGAGAGAACGCTATAGTCGGGTACCCCGACTATCAGATACCCGTTACTCAGGTAAAGAGAGTGCGAGGGAGATGGAGATAGAAACTTTGATCACGCATAACTTTTTAACGAATGGTCCGATTTGAAAAATTTCTTCTACATTTCGATAGGTATTGATAAACACAATAAAACTGAATTTTTTATTTTTCCGAAATATTTAAATTTTTAAAATCGTATATAAGCGATTGTGGGCGTTAAAGGGGGCGTGGCACCTTTTTGAAACAAACTTGCGCTGCGTAGAAACTCCTAGAATCTGCATGCAAAATGCCAATCTTCTAGCTTTTATAGTTTCCGAGATCTCAGCGTTCATACGGACGGACAGACGGACAGACAGACAGACGGACAGACGGACATGGCTAAATCGACTCGGCTAGTGATCCTGAACAAGAATATATATACTTTATAGGGTCGGAAACGCTTCCTTCTACCTGTTACATACTTTAGCACGAATACAATATACCCTTTTACTCTACGAGTAACGGGTATAAAAATATATATATATTAAGATAGTAATTAACTTTAAGTTCTATATTTCACAATTTGTTAAATGTTTTTTAAAAAGCTTTATTATTAAGATTTTGAGTGTTGTCCCTGATTAGATTTCAAGTAATCTGGTACATTGTATACTGCCTATGCTAAAGAATTCGCGGTTACATTTTTTAATGTCGTTAAATTTATCGAAAATTCATATGCAATTTATGCCCCGGATATTTACAGTTACATTAGGATGTGAGGCTATCGAAATCTAAATATCGATTGGTTTTCTAAATACTGGCATAATCGGCATAAAATTACTATTGAAAATGTTTGAAGCGTAGACCTGAAGAATTCGCGTTACTCATCACAATTTATTCACCTGGTATGGAGACGCAGGTCAGCGGACAGGTGCCCGTGTGCAGGTAGTCGAGCAGGACGCGGAATGTGTCCGGATCGAACTCGATGATGTTGAACTCGGTTTGGGCCAACTTGGCGCGGTCGACCTTTTGGGCGTCGGCGCAGACGGAGAGGCGTGGCATGGCCAGCTGGTTGTTGCCCGGCTTGTCCTTGTCCTTGTCCTTGCTGTCCCTATCTGCAGGCGCCAGTGGGTGGTGTTATCGAGTGGGTTATCGGGCAATTGGTTATCGTTCATCGGTCATAGGTAGTCGGTTATTGGTCGGTAGTCGTCGAAATTAACGAAATCAAAAATTCGATTGCAAAGCAAGAACCGCAAATCATAAGGGGTTAAATCAAATCATTTGTCAGTCGGCAATAAAATAATTGGGTAAACCAAAAGCATTAAGTTAAGAAGTTTAGGTTGAGTGGTGGGAGTTTTTTATTTTTGTTTATTTGGTTTTTTGTTTTTTTTTTGGGAGTGGTGAGGCGTTTGGCGATTCACGTGAGATGAGAAAATGACAAAATTTTGTTTGTTGTTTAATTTAAATTATTTCGTTTTTTGTTTCACGTTGAATAAGTTTTTGTTGATATTAACAGAAGAGAGAAAGATATAGAGTATAGATTATAGAGGCGAAAGAGGATAGTATAAACAAGGAGCAAGTTGAGTAGTGAAAAAGTTAGAGAAAGTCAAACAAGAGTTTAAAACGGTTTTGTGTTTAATCCAATTTTGAACAAAATTGCATAACAGTAAAAATGCAAGCATTTGTGGTGAGTAGTGGTGAAATGGGGGTGGAATGGATAAATATGTATGGGGAATTAAGTATACGAAAAATTATTGTTATTTTATTGAAAACATTTTTTCACCAAAGATCAAGTTGAAACATAGTGTGCGGAATAAGGCATAAAAAAGTTAAATAATATAAACAAATAATTGGCATGTAAATTAAATTAAGCATAGGCATTATACACATAGAAACGCCATGAGGTTCATTATTTTTAGATGATGATATTTGGTTTTGAGGTACATTAAAATCACAAAGTGCAGTATAAATAATACGGATTTTGGGAATACGTTTAAAAGACAGTTAGTTGGCAAATGTACAAAGGATGCATTGTCAAAAATTCAGCAATCGTAAGAACCACGTCCAGAATATTTTATGCGACGAACCAAAGGGTAACGAAATAAGCCACAACAATAAGGAGTACACCACCATTACAGTTTATGGGATTGGTGTTCGTTCGACACAAGACATTCGATCAGGTGTATTTAAAGTAGGTTTCAGGACATATATATATATATATATAAATGAATATATTTAGGTCAGTTGAGATATTGAGTACGAGTACGCAGAGTTTTTAAGTTGAGGCAAAGATGTGCGGCGTGCGTTTTTTTGTAGTTGCAGGTATTAGTAGGTACGAGTAAATTGCAAAGTTTAATTGGTATTTTAATTTTTAGGGCGCAAGGACGCAGACGGTGGACGTATACGTAATGTGGAAATGCGGAAAATCAACACAAGTCGCACAGGAGAGAGAGAGAGATTGAGAGGAGAGAAGAGAACAAAAGAGAGCGGAGAGAAAAGAACACGCATCGATATGGTTGCATTGCACCGACTGAAAACCCTTACTCGAACAATCTGTCGACGATATCCACTTCTTCTTGTCATCCGGATTCAGCTGGTTGGTGTTCTTGTTCCTAATCGATCTGCCCCATCCGGCCGTAATAGTGCCGAGCCGGGAGAATGCCCGCTTCACCATCGGCGACGACGGCACGCTCTTCGGCCGGATGGAATCGGAGTCGGGAACGGTCAGGTAGTTGTTGCTCTTGGGCTTCTGGTTCTGCGGGGACACCAGCGATGGAGCTGGCCGGGCGAAGATCTCCGCCACGGGAATCTGCGGCGATCCAAAGCCCGTCTGAATGCCATACAGCATTTCCTGTAACAAAAAGGATACAATTATCCACTGGACACTCAACACACACATCAATCCGGTATTTATCAATTCAATTACAAAGCTATTCTCTTTTTTTTTTGTTGTGCAACTGTTTTAATAACATTGAATAATCTGAGGGTAATGGACTACTTAATCTATGTACTATTTAGTGTGTTTTTATCAACATAATTATCCATAACTAAAAGATAAATATGTACCTAAAATGTTGTATTCCCATAGCAATATTTTCTTACAGTTACGCTTTAAGTATGGTAAACAAAAGTTAAAAGTTCAATGTCTACGACTCAAACTTATTGTTGTTTAAATAGCAGCACACATACTGTTCTGTTAGAATTAGCTTGCGTCATATTTTGTCCTTAAAAGGCAACAGTACGTATGAGTGATACTAAAAGTTTATCACTTAGACTTCTCCGCAGTTTTGGTTAGGTTATAAAATGTTTTCACAATATGTTTAAGTGGCGTTGATTTCAAAAGTTTATTACCTATACGCACTGTTGAGAAGCTTTAAAGAAGATGTAAATTGCCACCTAAGGAAAATACCACATTGCGTATGAGTAACATTGATATAAATAAATGTTACTCATACGCAATGTGGTGTTTTCTCATATTACTCACTCAAACACACTTTTTTTATGGTGTGATACATATAAAGGGCTAACAAATATTTATGCTTTTAACCAATGAATCTTGCAGATGCATTTACTAACCTGAAATACTCGACTGCGCACTCCGAGGATCGCCCGAACACCGATAAATCGTGCCTTCTGCTTGGACTGACCCACCAGGAACACGACATCGAAGAGATGGGAGTTGGTCAGGCACGATGGTTCTTCGTTCAGGAATACGCGGGTGAAGTCCTTCGCCAGCTGGTCGTAATCCTCGAACTGATCGCGAACGGAATCGAGCAGCGGCGACGAGGGTCGCATGTGGCCTATGGAGAAATTGAAGGTATTAACATATCACTTGGATTTCTTTCATCTTTTATGTACATATATCTTAATTCAAAAATCATTGTTAAGTTATTGGGATTTATTCGCTGAAAGAAATGCTCTTAAAAGTCAAACATCATGCAAAATGTCCTTGAAAATGTAAAATCATGCACATGTTTTAAATGTTAATAAGTTTTAAAGGAATTACCGTTTTAATTTAGGTGAAATACGTTTTTATATCATTAATCTTTAGATTAATTTCATTAAATCTGTAAGTAAGCATTTGAAAGTCGACTGAACCAAGGAGCTTAATAGCAGCTGGCATATGGAAATATTGTCATGAACTAGTTAGGGCAGACCAAGGATAACTTCAAGGACTCCGAAACACATGTCGTTGTGGGGTTGTTTTTATTGCATTTTGAGTGGAATTGATGAAGGTGATTGCAGTAGACAAACACAATCGAATAATTACAATTGGGAGACATGGGTTCAATAAAGTCTCCAGTGGCCACACAATTGAGTAGTTCTTGGAAGTATCTATACAACTGAACAGCTATGTTCATATGTATATTGGCAAAGGAATTGCAAAAGAAAACCTTAAAGATAGCCTTTTTAAATTAATTTATAATTCTACAATATGGTATTTTAATATTTATGATTATAAAATAACTTTTAAAATATTAAGTATTTTAAAAATTCGTTGATTTATTCTTTTATGTGTGAATCGTTGTGAACTTTTTTTAAATATATTATTATATATGTTATAAAAGTGCTTACTAACTTTGTTTAATTTTCTCGGCCAAATGCTATTATTTTGGACAAGGCTGTGTATGTTGGACCCGGAATTTATGCAGTTCCCCAATCGCATTGGAATGGAAATGCCAAACTACTGGAGCGGTAATTTGCATAATTTCAATATGGATAGTTCCCATTTGGGGATCACTTCCGGCTTTTCTCAGTGTGTGGGTGGGTGCGTGTGTGTAAGTGTAAGTGTAAGTGTGCATGAATAAATCAAATTAGATTTGTGTTGTCTAGTGCAACAAATAGCAACAAATAAATAACAAGAAATCCAAACAAAATCACAACAAACAGCAACGACACACCACCACCAACAACAACAACAACAACAACGACAACACGAACAAACAGCAGCCTTGGATGGGTGGTGGTATGTGGGTGGTGGATGGTGGATGGGCGGTGGGTGGTGATGGCTGGTTGGAACAAAATATATACCCCACTGATAAAATAATACCAACATGAACAATATTTCTTGGCCGGACAAGTGTCGGTGTGTGCAGATAAAGGACGAGCAGATTGTCCTTGTCGTGGGCTTAAGGAGAGAGTGGGAGAAAGTGCGATAAAGTGGGTGGGAAAGAGAGAGGGAAGACGAGAGAGATTGCTTCGAGCGACGACTGCACGTTTCCGGTGGGCACAAACACAGCCGGATGTGTTAATGGCGGAAGCGGAAGTGTCAGTGTGTGTTTCTCCCTCTCCCTCTCCCTTGCCCTTCCTTTCTCCCTCTCTCTCTCCGCGGGTGAAAGTTCAACCGAAAGCAAGACAAAACAATTAATCAAACATACTCGTACAGGAACCGTGTCACAAAGGACCAAATGCAAATGTCTTTTTTTTTCTATTTTCTTTTTTTTTTCATTTGCCAGTAATGTCTGCAATTTGTTCTCGCGATTTGTTTATAAATCTCCTTAAAGTCTGACGGAAAATATAAAATTCAAGCAATTTTCTTTAAGGTCGCCAAGGGAAATGCATGAAACAAGTTAAAGTTTTATTATAGAACTTGATGTTTTATCACTTGATGTAATGGATATTCTAGAATCGAGAATTTTAAAATGTATGACTGAACAAACTCTTCTTAAATGAAAATCTAAACTATATTTAAAACTGCTTGGTAATGCAATTCAAAAACTAAGCTCGTATAATATTCTTATGGACGTCAAAATCGATAACGCAACTAAATTACTTAACTTAACTAAATTAGCTTACTCAATAAATAATTAAATATATAAAATTTAAATAAAGTGATAAAAAATAAGATGTGTAATTAAAATATTATTATTTCCTTGGTTTATGTGATCAGTTATTCCTCTCTTGTATAATAATGAATTCAAAATAATTGATTTATAATGTTTCTAAGCTGTATAAGTTTTTTAAAAACTTATGTCGTTGTTTTTAACAACCAATTTAAAACGTTTGGTATTTAAGTATATCCACTTGAAATGCCCAACGCTTTTTCCAAGTTGAATTTTAGAAATTTGCATTTGACCTTTTTCTTATTTTGGGATAGCCAAGGGAAATTTTGGGTATTGAAAATTCATTCAATAAAGCCAGGCAAAAACATGCGGGCCAAAAAAGGGGGGCGTGTGATTGGGGCGTGAGGCGTGGTTGGGGGCGTGGTGGCCCACATACTATGCCTCGCACACAGATGCAACATGGCACAACACGATGTGTGTGTGAGTGACGACGTTGAAAGTTGCAGATGGTGTTGCAGCAATTGTTGTTGCTGTTGGCTCTCATGTTGCAGTTGTTGTTGCTCATGTTGCCCAGCGTAATTGTTGTTGTCGGTGTGTCTGTGTGTGGTAGTTGTGTTGTTGTTGTTTTGGTTGTTGTTTTGGTTGTTGTTGTTGTTGTGTGGTGCAGCATTGTTATTGCAATAGCAGCAGATGTTGTGCGTCGACAATGGTTGCAAGTGCAGCATATGTTGCTGCTGCTGCGCCAACTGTTGCTGCTGTTCGTGATGTGTATTGTTGTCTAGGACTCGGGCATGCAACATTTTGATATATTCATCCTCACCGATGGGTCGCCAACTGCCGCGTCTATATGGCTTCGGTATCTGTCCGGTTTCGGCGTGATTCGATAGATTCATCACCAGATCCTCGAGCATCTGCGATCGCGTCCGCTCCTGCATCCGTGCGAATTTCGGTGCCGAATACGATGCCCTCTCCCCATTCACGATCTTCGTCAGCAGCCATTCCCTATGGAAATTGCACTTTAATCTGGCCTCTTTTGGGGGCATTACTTTCGAGGGCGAAACTCACCGGAACATGGGCCCCTTCTCGAACACCGACTGCTCCCACAAGTAGGGCTTGTAGGCACCCACCTCATCTCGGGTCACCACGGAGACCTCGTATCTAGTTGGCTTGTGCTTAATTCTGGCCGACACGCGAACCTTTTAACGCGGAGGAGAAAAGAGTGAGAAATCAGCGGTCAAATACCTATATATAAACCATATACATATATACTATCTTAGTATTTCAGGAGTACCTTATGACAAACATATTATTTACCAAATAAAATCACTATGAATTATTTTTAAAAAAGTGAAAATCTGAGCAGTAAAATAACTATATATCATTTATTCGTAATTAAACTATCTTTGTGTTTCCGGAGTACCTTACGACAAAAACATATTAATTATTGATAAAATTGCTATATAGTTAAATCATAAAATCCTTGTTATATATTTAATTAATCTTAAAATATTTTAAAACCAATTGTACGTGCCTAAAATGGGACAGGTTTTTTCCAGTTAAAAGAAAGGATATATTCTTTAAATAAATTAAATAAATAAATATCAAATGAATATTCTTATTCATATCTATTTTATCTTATTTTTTAGCAATAAATATATTTAAATTAAGACTCACAAGGATGAAGGTGTGCAGGAAGTGGCTCTTGATGCAGGCGGGACTGAATCGGGTGTTATCCGCCTCCAGGAAGACCACGCAGACGATGTCGTTGCCGATGTGGCGCTTCCTCTGGAGCTTCTGCGGATCGTGCTTCTCGTAGGGCAGCAACGTGGACACATGGAACATGATCTCGATGTTGCGCCAGTTCGTGTAGACGGAAAATAGACCTTTAAAGGTAGTTTACAAAACATCAGGCAACATATTAATGAAGTTTTTTATTATTTTTTAGTTTCCTCTAAAAATGTTACACAGTGTTATATAATGGTGGCAATCTCACCTGTCAGGTCGTGCACCGTGTCAAGGCCACCTTTGTATTTATCAAATCCGCGCAACCGAACTCGATCGCCCAGCAATGTGAGGAATTCGTCGAAGAGCGGTGAATTTTCATTATTGTCCAGAATTTGTTCTTCGGTATATTGATCCTCTTTGACAAATATGACGCCTACTTTTAACTCTGATTTTATAAAAACCTAGCCAAAGTCAAAAACAATACATTGAGAAGGTCTAAAATATAACAAAATAATATAGAAATACGCACCTGATCTAATTTTAATAATTCCTCTGGCGTGTCGGGTAATTGTCCTAACGTTAAAGGTGGATTTAAATTAACTTCTTTACCTAAAGATCTAACTACTTCCTCGCGATTATATCTGCAAATTGTTAAAAATCAATTTTTAATATTTTTTTGAAATTAAATTCATCTGCCAAGATGTTTAAATCCCGTTAAAAAGTAATTTTTTTTAAATGTATATTCTTGGCACTTTTATAAGAGGTTTTAAAGCCATAGTGAATACTATGTTTGAAAAGGTAACTTTTGTAGGAAGTCTAACTTTATATTTATAGAGGCTTACATTTAAAAACAATGAAATTGTAAAAATGATAAATTACCTATCGGCAAACACACATGACGCCGGAATCAGTCCATGCACCGTGTAGGATCCAGCCCGCACCAGGATGCGGAACTGATCCCGTCCGTTGAGCGTCTCCTGCTTGATGGACAGGATGACCGGGCCGAGGTCCTCGTCGCTGGTGAAGTAGTTCCAGTGCTCCGTGCCGTAGAAGTACTTCTCGTACGTCTCCTGCTCCACGGAGATCAGCTCGAAGGCGCCCTGCTGGTCCCACTGCTCTTCGATGGTGGTCTTCTTTCGCGGACTGCAAGGATCAATAGTTTGGAGGTAAGTATGTAGGGTTATAATATAAATATCCCCAAAGATATAATATAACACTGTTGAGTATTTAATTTAATACTTTATAGCTTTTATTTAGTTTTAAGTCCTGGTCACAATCACTGCTGGCTATCAACTGATCTCGCTCTCCGCTCCCAACTCGCACCAAACCCCAACTCTCTGATAGAGTTTGAGAGCGATGAGAGCAAGAGAGAGAGAGAGAGCCCAGCGAGAGCAAGCTCTACAACAACAACTACTAAGGAATACCGTAACTTATACAAACTAATAGGTAGCAATCCTGCTACAAGTATATAGGTTTTTAAGTAAATTTGTTCAGAGAGAGATTTCTCTGTGTATTTTTAAAAACCATTTAAAATATTTATGTATATATCAAGGATTAAAAGGGCGGTTAACCACTGACCTGGGCGTGGCCTCGGAATCCTCGTCGTCCTCGTAGAGATCGCTGCACTCGCGCTCCAGATAGGCATCGCTGGCACTTCCTGCCCGGATGTCCTCGTGCTCCGAGTCGCTTTCGTCCCAAATGGTGTGCGGGGTGGGCATGGTGATCTTCTGGCGGGAGCACTCTATCCAGTAGCCAGGAGTGGGCATCAGGTTGTGCGGATACTCCTCGCAGAACTCATCTGCAACGGGATTTTAGATTGTGGCATAAAAGATTGCATTTTGCACTTTGATTGAAACAAGTTGGCTTTCAATTACTGCTCAACCAAAGTCCCATGATCAAATTAAAGTCGTAAATACAGTGTTGTTCTTGATTAATTTAAATGAACAAAACTGTTTGGCCAGACTTTGGTTTAGCAAATACACTTTTTAAGACTTATTAATTAAATGTTTGGGAGTAATTTGTTTTTAACACCAAAGTATTAAATTAAATTTATTATTAAATTAAATTTAAATTTTATATTTCCTTTTCTTATTATTTTCTAAAGTTTCTAATGCAATCACCCAAAGGTTTCAAGACCAGGTGCCTACATAAAAGTGCATTCTCGCACGTCAAACTTGGGCTTCTTCTCACTTTCGAAACGACTTAACTCTTAATTCGCACTCTGGGTTTTAGTTTGGCTAAGATGGCATTCCCAATCAGCCATCGCGGGTAAGCCCTTCCATTAGAAAAGTTTCTTTGGACCCACCGCCGACAATCTCACTTTCTTCCTGCGGCCAGAGTCTTATGTCAAAAGTTTGGCTCAACTTTTTAGCGGCTTGTGGCTTTTACATTCTGGTGAAACTGGTGAAACTGTTGCCTACTTTGAGGCTTTCAATGGCTGGCAATTCCTTCAACTCTAAACAAAATAATTTAGTTCAATTCAATTAAAATGCAAATACCGTAAACGATGGCGAGTGGCGTCGCGTGAGTTGCCAGTCATAAAGCAGGCGAAACATCCCATTTCCCATTTCCCCCAATTTCCTCATTTTCCCTTCGCCCTTTGCCCCTTGCCCCCTTTCCCCGCCAACGTTTCTGCCCATGATTGAGTTGGAAATTCGATGCGGCGCGTGAGTCAATAATGTGCCACAACTCACTACCCAACGCACAGTGGGTCGAAAGCCAATTAATTGAGTTATTCTCATGGAATTTGTTGCTGTTGGTTAAACAACTGTGATTCTTATTTCCAATCTCAGTAGGAAGATATTATTTTACAACAGCAATTATCGCTGTAATCTTAACATGCAAAAATTTGTTCCCAACTTAAATATTTTTTAGATTGGGTTAGGTTACGAACTTGAATTTGAGTTTAATTATATTATTACTGAGATTTTCTAAAAACATTTTATATTATTTCTGTTAATATTGCTTGTAATTTATCTATATTTTTCATGAACGTAGAGGTATTTTTATTATTAGTTTGTAATAATAAGATTTCTATTATTAGTTTTTTCCACCCATATGTGTTATTTATAAATGTTTGTTTGCCTGCTCAACTCGAGGTATGTGAAAATTATATTTTTGCAGTCACAATGGCATTTTTTAAAATTGTAAAAAAAAATGGTTTCAATTATGCCCTTATCCTTGAGTTTTGAACGGAATTCCTTGATCCAGGCCCACTGTACAATGATGAGGACGATGATGGCGGGCATGACGTTGATGGTGTTTTGGCCCTGGCTCTTCCACTGCTCCAAGGGCTCTTTGTGTTTCTGGTTCGTGTTTCTGCGAGATGGCAGTAAAATGCTGCCCTGCGCCAAGATGGGAACTATGATCTAATTAAGGAGCGCTCACCGTTGCCGTCACATGTGCCACACATTTTATGCCGCAAGTTTTGCCCCGACTACCACGCAGATGCTGCATATTTTTCGGTTCTCTTCCCGGCCAAAAAACACACACACACATAGATAGTCGCACAACCGCACAACGACCCACACAGACAGACAGTGGGAGCCATAAAACGGTGGCCCTGCCTAATTCAAATTTGAATAACTCGCAGCGTGCGCCGCTAAGTAGGCTATGAAATCGCTTGCTCGCCCTGTTTTTCTGCGGTCGTGCATAGACTTTGATACCCTACATATAAACTTGGGGTGACTTAGCACTTGTCACCCCATGGCACTAAAATATGCACATTAATTTTTTAAAATTCAAGAAAGCAATGGAAAGCTTTTTAAGTTGATAACTGATAGATTATTATATTTGTTATCATAAAATATTTGGAGATATTTCTGTTTAGGAACGTCTCAAGGAGGAATATAGGCATCTAAACTTGTTATATTATTCTATTAGCTTATAATTCACTCCTCTTTAAAAAAAAGGGTAGCAATCGTTTTAATCTATCAATTACAATAATTTGTTGTTCTGATTAGAAATGATCAGCTAAGTTATTTTTAATTATTTAAAGCTTAAGTCTTTATAGAAATTAGAACAAGTCATTATAAAATTCAAGGCCTTTTAAGTATTGAGTTGATTGTATTCGGTTAAGAAGTAATAAACAATAAATTAACTCAAATTCAAGGAAAAAGAGAAAATTAAATCTCTTCAATGCCTAAGTTGTGCTAATCGCTCCTAGAAAAGTCCCAGGCATTTCTTAAGACTTTAATATATTTTCTTTTAGACCGTAGGGTATTACGAGGTCTTAGGTTTTCCTTTGCATGGAGGAACCATAAGGTTATGGTTACGATTGTGGATTTTGGCTCGGTCAGATTTTTTGGGGCAGTGCGTGTGTGCGAAGAAATTGCGGGCACAGCGCCCGCGGATGAGCAATATATTTTATTTTTTAAGGCCAGTTAAGACCCCCCACCATCTTGGGTTAGTTGGATTTACGCCTCGCTTTAATGTTTCTCTTTTTCCGCAACTCAAAGTTCCCACACAAATACCAAGCCCATCCGGTTGATCATTTTTCATCCCAGCCCGGCAGCAACTTATCGTATTGCAGCTGCAGCTGCACGGCAGCAACATGCAACACGAAACATGAAAACAAACAACCGAATTGATGGCCATCGCTTGTTGGCCTCCCAGTGGTAAATGTGGAAAAAGTGAGAAAAAGTGAGGAAAAGTGGGGAACCGAAGGCTGGCCGGGCAACTATTTCATCTTGCCACTTGTAATGGCCGCTTGCCAAGACGGCGAAGGCAAACAAATCAGACCAACTGACACCCGGGAATAGCAATACCATGGTGTGGTATGGTGGATGGTCCATAACCCGAGAAGCTCTACGGCAGAGTGGAAATGGAACGCGAGAAGAGCTCCTTCACAACTGGAGATATTTAATGGGCTGCCCACTAGAAACTGAGAGGAGCCAGGCAGTGTATCGCTTATAACATTAATTAGGTTTTTGTCGTTCACGCTTAGATGATTTTTAAGCAGTTATGATATGAGTTATAATATATTTAGTGAATTAAATGAAATATAGTCATATACATGGTAATGATTTGAGGAGTTTCACACTACTTTTCTTAACATGGTTTTTTTCAGATTTACGTCAAGCATTTAAACAACGAGATTTATTAAATTTAATAAAATCGATCAACTTGTAGAACTATTTACTTATCTATTCTTTGCAAAAATAAAACAATAGTCAATTTTTCTAGAGAAATTAACATCAGTTAATTATCTTGATATTTCACTTATACAAAATATTTGCAAAACCTGTGATTATTCTAGATATTACATTTAGAAAGCGAAACTGTTGCACGGCAACTTGGTAAACCTCCATCTGGTGATTCACAGTCCATTTGGGTGTTTGAGCAGAATGCAGGTGAAGATGATATGTGTGGTGAGTGCAAACACAGCCAATGCCCCAAATTGAGATGCGATTGTGTTGATTTGTGTGGCCACACGCGTGTTGCAAATTAAATTCCATTTTCGGCACAATAACCGCAAATAGAGCGGTTGGATTGGCAGGTGTAAACATTAAATGAACCAATTTTAGGTGCATCAATTGTCGATTGTACAGCAAATATAAATAGGTTCCCCTATACCTGATGGAATCAAATAAAAATCCATTTGCTTCAAGCTCAATTTGATTGGTAAATAAGGGATAATTAACCGCACCGATGTTAGCTTGTTTTTTTCAGTTTTTCGCGAATAAGTTTACTATAAATCAAAGCCGAAATGCAAATAGTTACACATTAGTACAAAAAAACACAATTTTAAAATAAATAAATCAATTGATTATCCACTGTCTAAATAGATTACAAAAAAAAACGTTGCATTACATTAAGATAATGCAATCAATTGAATTATTTATTTTAATAATATGTTTTTTGTACAGTTCTACAGTTAATAGTATTTAAGGATAACCAGGTTAAAATTAATTTAGTAGAAATTATCACATAGAAATTATTGAAAATATTGTTTAAATAAAACTATTAAAAGGATCAAATTCGTAACCTTTTGTTTTGTATTTTTTCTAATTAAGCTATTAAGAGAATAAATTTTCATAAAAAGTAAATTAATTTTACATTGATCATAATTCCCTGTTATTTAAATAAAAACCTGGCAGTGCTGGCACATCAATCCATTCTTTGGGATACTTAATCCATTCAGCGTAAATTATGAGAGCGGCTAATCCTGTTTGCAAGTCCTGCTGCGTCATCCACTCGTCACTCATCAACCATCCATCCATCCATCCATCCAGGCAGGCATCCTTTCAATTTCTGGCCACAAGGATTTCCGCTTACACAACACAAAATGGCCGTGGCCATGACTGTGACCCTGTAGCTTGGCCAACAATGCAGTTTGGGCCACATGACTGGGCGGGATTTGTTGCCGCATTTAAATGACACGGCGCCCACTTTTCACCCGCTTTTCACCCACCAACTCATCTGGAGCGCTTTTTATGTTTTGATGCGCCGCGGAAATCCATTAGCCATCCCTCTAACCCAACCAAGCCCAACTCATTCCCCTGCGGCGATGACAATTCCTTCAAGGATCACGCAACATTGCATTAGCATAAAGTGCCGGCACAATGGGCTGACATTTTGCAAATGACTCGCCGCATAATGGACAGTCGGATCAACCGGAATAAAGTCAAGAAACATACATTTAAATGTCCAATATCAACTGGTCTCTAAAGGCGATAATAAATTTAAAAAAAGAAACCCAGCCTCAAGGCAATTTAACAAATCTCTTTGGTTTTACATGGATGTAAATAAATTCATTTTCGTATTAAACCAGCATATAATGCTAATAGAAAAGATTAC